GCCGAGCTCTAACTTTGTTTAAGATTATTGAATCCGGGACGACATGGCATTGTTAGACTCAGCTCGTCGAGATGCAGCGAACCATACACCGCGTCCCGGATTCGATAATTTTAAACGAAGTTATATTTCGGCGGCACATTGGCCTGCTCCCGGCCCATAGTTAGTTATTACCGGAAACTAATTTAAATACAGTTCCTTTAAATAGACTAGTATAATTAAAATAAAATTTTTAAACAAAATATTTTTTAAAATTATATTTCGAAACTTAAATTTAAGCTTTGTCTTTATTTTGATCCGAATGATCGTCCGAGTGCTGAAAATCTAATCGCCTTTATGAAAAATGAATGTACTATGAAATTACCTAATGGCAAACAAATATCATTTAATCCAGAAATTGCACCCCCAAAAGATGAATGCAACGTATCTCGAGTAACTCGTGAACCACAAGCATTACAAACCAGACGTTTATTTATTCAAACTAAATCGAAGTTATCTCCCAGAACTACTATTTAACTGGCTGGAGTAAAAAAAATTTTTGGAAAAATTGTTTAAAATTTTTGTTGGAGATTAAAACTGAGTATTATTTATTTAAATTTGTAGATTGTCATTATTTAAACGATAAACTATTTTTAAAGTTATTTTGTATTAAAATCGGTGAAGCAAATTTTTATTATATAACAATATTTGTTCCAAGGGATCTCTTCCACTATGGGGGAATGGATTTATGGGAATGGCTATAGAAATGTGGAAACTGAGCAAATATGGAAAAATACCCCCAAAAACGGGAATAAAGGGTTGTTATTAATAATAATGAAAATTGTTGTAAAATCTTAGCATTTTTTCCATTAGAGCAGTAAGCAAAATTTTTTTGGAATTTTAGACAGCCAAGAAAAATATAGCAACATTAGGGGAATCTAAAAATTGGGCAGAAACTGTCAAAAATGAAGTACCTTATTTTCTCGATTAATTACCCTGGGGAATTATTGTTTCAACCCAACTCTAGCATGGGGAATCGTTAGGGGGATTATTCGAGGGAGGGGTATTAATAGAGAAAATATTGTAAGTGCCGTTTAAAATAAAGCAAAAGACCATTCTGATATCCTCAAAATTCAACGTTTTTCTAATTACGAAAACTTTAAATAATAAAAATATTTATTTAAAATTCTTGAAATATTTTCCCATTTTTACTTCCTTTTCCTTGTAATTTAATAAAAAATTTTTCAATGCCAATCTATTTTCAATGCCAATCGGAAATGGATTTTATCAATCAATTTTCTATCAATTTTTCCTAGCCCATCTGTACACTCTTTGTCAATTGAATTTTATTTATTTCCTCTATTGACATTTAATTTTTAAAATTTTTTAAATAAATTTTTATTAATTTTTATTATTATTTTATTCAAATTTTTAAATATTTATTTAAATATTATAACTTAAATATTTTTTAAAATGTAAAAACGTTTCCATGGAGCCGTTTCCTAATTTCCACCTGTTGTTAAATATTTAATTAATATTTTCAAAACAAAAATACAACCTTAAACATATAGCAGGCATAAAACAATTAAGTTAAATAAAAAGTACGCATTTGTTACAACTTTTAATTAAATACAATTTAATAAATTGAAACAAAATTAATAAAATAAATATATTTTTTTATTAATATTTTTTTAATTTTATTCGTTTTTTTATTAAAATATTAAAATAGAAGGTGAAAACCAGGGCTGTCCGCAAGTGGAAAAAAATTTGGCTCTTGTCCAGTTCATGCGTCCCATAAAAATTTATGCGTCCCATGAAATGACTAGAAAAAATATTCAAAAATTAAAAATGCAAAGTTATTAGTAGGGTTGCGCGAGGTTTAGGTTTTTCGGAAAAACCGAGACCGAGGATCATTCCGAAGCCTAGGTTCGAGGATAACCGAGGTTTTTAAAAAATTTTAATCTTTTGAAAATTTAATTAAATTTGCTAAATTTTATTAGATATTTGCTGAATCATTCCAAATTAATAATTACATCATATTCAAATCCAGTAGGGTACCCAATATGGATTAGACAAAAAGTCCATTTTTAGGGGTGTATATTTAGCCTCGTTCCTCGGCGAGGTTCTTGGCGAGGATTGAGACCGCGGCTCCGAGACCGAGGAGCAGTCGAACCTAGACCGAGATTGGAAACTGGGTTTTTTGAATTTATTTCATGGGACGCATAAACTTTTATGGGACGCATAAATCTTCATGGGACGCATGAACTGGACAAGAGCTAAAAATTTTCCGCAGCCGCGATTTTAATTTCAAAATCCGCAACCGCAATCGAACAGCCTGGTGGAAATAGCAACTGAGGCCAGTAACAATTACGGAGACAATAGACAAACAAGAAGCAAACTTCAACATTGTCGGTTGTCTCTGTAATTGTTATTGGTCACCACCATGTACATGGTAAGCAAAAGTGCTTAGCAATAACTTCTAGAAGGTTCCCAGAATCAATGCCTTCCCCAGAGCTAAACTTTTAACTCTCCTTTTATTTTATTTTTTATTTTAGAGTTATTTTATATTTTATTTTTATTTTTAATTAAAAATTAATTAAATGAAAAATCTCACAAAAACTAAATTAAAAGGAATGCAACAAAAGAAACGGAAACAGACATATTTTTCTACTAAATCCATTGTTAGGTAAATAATAATTTTAGAAAATATTTTTTCAATTAAAAAATATTTTTTAGACCAAAATCTACAAATTTATCTAAAAATGATGGGAGAATATGTAAAAATAAAAATTGTCGTTGTCGTGAACGAAAGTTGAGATTAATTAACAAAAAAAGAAGAATTTTAGAAGAATTAAATAAAAATAAAAAACAAAAAGATAAAAAAATAAATAAAATTATTACAAAAGAAAAACAACAAAAAATTAAAGAAAAAATTTCGAACATAAATGAGAAAAAAATTTTAAATGAGGAAATGTTAAATTTGGATAAAGTTAATATGGAGAAAATAGAAAGGGCTAAATCTGTTTTGAATTTTAATTTGGAGGAAATACAGGTATTTATTTTTTTTTAAAGTGTGTAGCTGAGATGGAGATGGGTTATCCGAAAAGCCCTCCCCTCCCAATTTTTTGATCCAACCCCAATCTTTCTTATCTCAACTCTCCCCTGAGGTTTATGTAATACTAAGAGGTTGCCCCTGAACATGTCAGGTTATTGGGGTTTCAGATTATTTAGGAAGGAATCTTCTTAAATATTTCAATGTTTTTCATACTTATTTTCGTAATTTGTGTCCAAGTTTGATTAAGAATATACTACAGAATTGAGAAATTCTCAAATTTTAAATTAAAGTAAAGCAGATACACTTAAATATCTTTCCTTGTTTATTTAAATTTATTTTTCTTTTATATTTAAGTCACAAATAATTATGGAATGTTTTGGGCATTCAGAATTTACAGAACTAAAATTTTCCAAAAATCAATGGGAAAAAGAATTTACAAAAAGAATGCCAAAAATTCTCAAATTAACAGATGCTCAATTAATTAAAATTAAAGAAAAAATAAATAAATTAAAAATAGTAAAAATAATTTTTTTTAAATTAAATTAATTAAATTCTCTTTTAGAATTACAAAATAAATTGTACAACATTTAGTCAAGTTACAAGAAAATTAATTTTTAAAGATAAAGAATTACTAGGTAAAAAAGGAAATATTTTATTAATTTATTTTAATTTTAGAACCTTTAATTTTGCCGTTTTTGGCAGTATTGCGCGACTTTGAAGTGGATATTTGGAAAGGGGTGGATGAGTTTATTGATGTGTTATTGAAAGAATAAATGAGAGAATATTTAATTTTGTATTTTTTATGCACATATTTATTGTTATTTATTTTTCTATGTATATACATATAAATTTTGTTATGAATGTTTAAAATTAATTTTAAATGATTTGTTAATTTTTAATTATCCAAAATCAGCAAATGTCGTCTAAGGTTTTACAAAAACAAGAAATAAAAGCGGCATAAAAATAAATAAAATGAAATACCGTAATAAAATAATAATCAAAAATTAAATTAGGAATTATTATTTGAATTTTAGTATATTCTAGCTTTTTAGACCACGGAGCCTAAATCAGAAATCAATTAGATTTTAGAAACATGTGGATGTTAAATAATCAAATTTTAAAGCTAATTTCAAAATTATATTTCGACAAAATAATTAATAATTTAGTAGATAGAAAGGTGTACTACAAAACTAGAGGTGCCTATTAAGCATTAAAATCACTTCAATAAAAACGTATTTATATTTTAATATTTAATATACTGTTAAAATTTATACCGAAAAATTAAATTTTATCCAATTTTACAGATATTAAGAGTTTATACAAAACTTTCAAATAAATTCTAATTAATTTTTCCATTACATTCATTCACCGGGGTTAGCAATATCATTTGTTTTTGCTAAATTCTCTACTCCAAGCTTTTGTATATTTGGTGTATTAATTGTTGATGTATGTCCAGTTGCGTGTCGGGAAAAGAGTGGGGGTGCGTGGCTACCCGCAGTCATCGGATGTATAGTAGAAACGGACTTTCCAAGCATTTGTTTGTACATTAACAAGCAGTCACGTTGAATTGATTTGTTCATTGTTAGGTAAATAACAGGAGGAATTCCTAAAAAGTTTATGGAATTCTTTTGTGAAACTAAAATTTCAAGTGTTTTTAACACAAAAGTTTCTATTTTTAATAAACTTTGATTTCTATTTCCATATCAGAGCCAAAATGGCTCTAGAATCGACCTTGCTCTAAAATAATGTATAAAAACTACAGGGTTTAGTATATTTTATTATACTTTTATGGAGGCCGAAAATGCAAATTCTTGTCTAAAAATTTTTAAAATAAAAAATCAGCCAAAAATTTATGCACATCTTATTAGTTATTCACTAAAAAGTGTGTATCTAAATTTTCAGAAAATTTGGATCATTGCAGGTAAAAAATCGCGAAAATACAAGTGCCTTTATACTTTTGTGGAGCAGTTTATTTAATAAAAAACCCCCCACCATGAGCATTAACCCAAGCTAATTGTGCAATTATAATCAACATTTCGTTAACATGGAAATATTGCATATAAACATAAATTGAAGCAGCAGTAGCGTTAATTAAACTAATCAAAAGGACTTGAACAAAAATCTAGTTAATTAATATTATATTATTTATTAGAAATAAAAAAAACCATTTTTTCAGAAAAGCTATGTTGATCTGAAGATTGGTTTCTCCCTTTAGATCTTGCAAGTAAAATAAGGTAAAAAGCTACATAGGTAACAACTAACATAACCAAAATTATATTGTTATGAATTGTATGGATTATATTCTCATACTGAAAATTATTATTATTATTTATAAGTTAAAGCGAATAATGCCTATCACTGCACCCCGTACTTATCTAAAAGGAATTCTATGAACAATTCTTAACCCCAATAATAATTAAACTACAATTCCATTAGTATCATCAATATAATCCACATGTGGATTGAAAAACCAGCTAAAATATATTCCGCTAAAAATTAATGGTCGTGTGCATAATGACATAAGAATTCCATAAATTGTTGGAATGCCGAGCCAAAGAATCATCTTTTTACCTTAAAAGTGATGATATGTAATTTTTAATTTTTCTCGAAGAAATTTTGTGTAAAGATAAAAAATTTCTATAAGTCTGGATCAAAATAAAATTCTCATTAAAAGCCTTAAAAATTTTTTAATTTCCACAAATTACCATTAAACCATTTGTGTGCCAATTCATCAGACCAAAGTTCAGCGCAACGATTTATTGCTAAAACAGTCTCCATTGTTGATTCAGCACACCAGCAGCCTAAGAAACCAAGATATTATCAAATTATAAAATATAAAACAAGGATGTCATGGGTACTCGAGACTTTTATCAGAAACCCAACCAATAACAAAAGGGGACCAACGCGAATTTTTCAAGAGAAATTTCTTCATATTAATATTGATTTCAACCCATGACATCCATTATATAAAATAACCAAGTCCATAAGCTCCAAAGAAATAAATAAGTTTTGGAGAAGAACAAAAAACATAACCATAATAACCCAAATAACCAGTTAATAATCCATTACACAAAAGTGTTAACATATCAATAACACCGATACAAAACATTATTTTGTAGCAATGACTATTCTTCATTCTTTTCCATATTGAAAACATACAGGGGATATATAAAATCTGATTTAGAAAAAAATAAATTTTTAGTTAATGAAAACAGTCGATTTTAGATATACAGAGTCAGGCAATAAGACTTTTCAAGATTATTTCTGTTTTAGTATATATGATGCTAATATAATAAGTATTATAGCTAATTTACATCTAGAATCGAGCGTTATCTTATTAGTTCTTATTTTAACTTTTTAGGAATTTTTTCTTATCTACCTATTTTAATTTGTATATTATTATGATACTTTTTACAACAGGTGTTTATGTACCTGATATGTATGTACATATACCTTGGATCATCTTCTCTTTAAGATTTTTTACCTCATAAATAGCCGACATTGATAAGAAAAAAATTCCAAGCCATTCATGTTTACGCTTCTCCAAAGGTATTTTATCAACACTATAAGAACTACAATTATATAAACGTTCATATTCATCAGGTTTAAAGAAATAAACATCCATTTTTAATTTAGCAAAAAATTTTATCTTAATTAATTAATTAATTATTTATTAAATGATAGGTTATTTTTATTCATCTATATTCTTTTTCGTAAACAACGGAGGCCCAAATGACGGAACTTTGAAGAGAAAACGTCGGAATTTGGAATTTAAAACCAATTCTACAACTCAAAGACGAGTACGGGGAAAGAAATAATTCCTTAATGGAATACAGGAACACGAATCCGAAATTTCAAACACTTGATTTGTTTGGTGATGCGAAGGAATTGATATTTATTAAGATGATACTTAAAAATATTCTGCTTTCAAGGGATAACATAATGCAAACGAGAGTCGTCATAAATAACTCTTAAAAATTTCAAATTTGTATATTCTAATTTATAATATAATATGTAAAGAAAAGAATAAAAATGTGATTTAATTTACAAATTAAATTAAAACATTTTCTTGAAAAAATAAAAATTAAAAATTAAATAAAAGAAAATTAAATTTTCGTTTAAATTAATTATGTATAATTTTTTTAATATTTTAAAATAATTAAATTATATACTGAAATATACTTTAATATATAAAATTAAATTTTTATTAAACACTCTAATATATAATTAATAATAAAATTTCCATTTAACAATTATTTAATTTTAAAAATTATTATTTTATTTATTTTCTTTCGTAGAAAGGGGGGGGGGGATTTCCGTCATCAACAAAAGATAAAAAGAACAAATCTAAAATTTATTTGTTTATTGGCAACATTATTTGTAAATATATTTTCATTAAAATTTTTGATTAATAAGTAGAATTAATGAAAATTATTCATTCATATTATTTTTAATTATTTAAGGATTATAGTTTGTTTTGGGGTCGAGTTAAAGTTAAAACAATTGAGAAAAGAGAGGAAAAGTACATATTTTATAGAGAGAGACTATGCTAGGTAATGTATGTTAGGTATTTAGTATTATTGAAAATATAACTAAAATTTATAGTCAAATATCATGAGAATAATGAGGAAAATTTTGGGGGAAACAATAAAATTATCCGAGAGTAATATAATTTCATTAAATCATTGGGGTAAAATTTTTAAACAGAAAACGGTTATTATCTACATATGTATATGCCGAGGGATTTTATATAGGTCCTTCATTTGTTCTGGTTTCATTGAATTGCTTGTTGTGGTATATCTGGACCCTTTTCAGTACCATTACGTGGAAATGGCGGGTGGCTTCCTGTAGATATTGGATGTACAGCAACATTCATTCGAATAATTTTCTTAAGCATTTCGAGGCAGTCACGTTGGATTGATTTGTTCATTGTTAAGTAAATGACAGGCGGAATTCCTTAATTATTTTATGCTGACAAGGGAACATTCCGAACTGTGACCAAAAATTTTCAAATAAAAATTATACCATCGTGTAGAGCATGGTCGAAAGCCAATTGTAGTATGTTTCTTTTTTGGCCCTGACCCCCATTTCGAAAAGTTATAAGGCTTCAAAGTTTCCGACTTTTGGAACGGTTGAGTCGCCCTCATAAAGAGAGATTTTTCTTTTATTAAGGAGAAAAATAAGACTCCCTTCCTCCTTTTTTCCTTTCCTTTTCTTTTCCAATATTAGTTAAAGAAAGAGAAAAAGAGGAGAGAAAAGAAAAGGAAAAGAGGCGTCTCTGCCTTGCAGCTAATGTCAATTAAAAAGGAAAGAGGAGGAGTCAGAGAAGCCTCTTTTCCTTTTCTTTTCTCTCCTCTTTTTCTCCTTCTTTAACCAACATAGGAAAAAAAGAGGAAAGGAAAAATTGAGAAAAGGAGTCTCATTTTTCCCTTTAGGAAAGAAATAATAAGAAAAGTGAGGGCGACTCAACCGTTCCAAAAGTCGGAAACTTTGAAGCCCTATAACTTTTCGAAATGGGGGTCAGGGCCAAAAAAGAAACCTACTACAATTGGCTTTCGACCATGCTCTACACGATGGTATAATTTTTATTTGAAAATTTTTGGTCACAGTTCGGAATGTTCCCTTGTGAGTATAACTACATCATAGGGATAGGAGTTTTATTTTTAAAATCAAATTTTTTCAAAATGAACGAAAAATTTAGAATTTTTAATTTAGAAATATCGTAATCATTGTTAGTAATTAAAATTTATTTATCAGATATTTTTGTTCGATTTTTCAACATAGGTATCTTGGTTATCTCCTAAAAATTTCAACTCTGGTTATAACATGCATTTCATTTTTTTATACATAGGTATTACCATGCGCATTAACCCAACTAAAAAGTCCAAGAATAATCAACATTTCGTTAACATGAAAATATTGCATATAAAAATAAATAAAAGCAGCTGTAGCATTAGTTAGACTAATCAAAAATACTTGCAGGAATATCTAAAATAAAAAGGTATGTCTCTAAAAATTATTTTATTTAAAAACCAATTTTTCTGAAAAAGTTTGCTGATCAATTGGCTGTCTTCGATCTTTGGATCTAATTAGCAAAATAATGTAAAACAAAATATAAATAATCACTAATAATGCCAATATTATATTATTATGTATTGAATGTAGTAAATTCTCATACTAAAAATAATTACTGTATATATTCAGATAATTACTTTCGCTCTTTCAGATTATTACCACTACTCTTTCAGTTGAAAATAATTACCCAGGGGAATTATTTGAGAGTATAAGGCATATTAAGACGATTGGGCATTATTAAGTATAAGGCATTATTAAGTCGATTGATAACAGTAACTTACAGTTTCATTGGTATCTTCAATGTATGACAGATGTGGATTAAAAAACCAACCAAAGTAAATGCTACTGAAAGCTACTGTCTTTGTAAAGAATGCCATTGCTAAACCATAAATTACTGGAATTGAAATCCAAGCAAACAACTTTTTTCCTTAAAAATTTAAATTCATTTTTTTACTTTCTCATGAAATCTAATGAATTTTGATAATTACCGTTAAATAATTTATCTGCTAAAACGCTTGACCAAAGCTCAGCACAACGGTTTATAGCCAAAACAACCTCCATTGTTGTTTCAGCACACCAACAACCTTATTTAATAATTCAGATCTCAAAATAATTTTTAATTCTTTTACCTAGTGCATAAGCCCCAGCAATATAAATAAAACGCGGGGAAGAACAAAAAACATAACCATAATAACCCAAATAACCAGTTAATAATCCATTACACAAAAGTGTTAACATATCAATAACACCGATACAAAACATTATTTTGTAGCAATGGCTATTCTTCATTCTTTTCCATATTGAAAACATACAGGGGATATATAAAATCTGATTTAGAAAAAATAAATTTTTCTTATACCAATATCAGGAAGACTCGAAATCCTAAATTTTGCCTGTGGCACTGAGAAAATAAATTTTACTATTTTTTGCCTATCTAAAGGCAGATATGTACGAGTTCGAGGAAATGATATAAATGCAAAGTACGATAATGTAAATTTGAAATTTCCAAACATTGCTAAGGTTAACTGTTCTTGTTATCCGGAACAGCAAAAGGACAAGATAACTTGAAATTATCGGTTCGGATATAGGTCCTGGTTTTGGATAACCGAAATCTTCTGTTAATTGTTCCAATTCCGGCTAACAGAAATTTTCGATTCAGTTCATAAGAGGTCTACAATTCAAAATTAACTTTCATAATCACCTCATAAATTGTGCCAATTGAAAAGAAAAAAATCCCAAGCCATTCATGCCTACGTTGCTCCAAAGGTATTTGGTCAATACTATAAGAACTACAATTATATAAACGTTCATATTCATCAGGTTTAAAGAAATAAACATCCATTTTTAATTTAGCAAAAAATTTTAATCTTAATTAATCATTTGATAATGTGTTATTTTTATTCTTTATATTCTTTCGCGTAAAAGCGCATGATAGGAACCCCGAAGGTATAAGAAATCTGAAAAGTCTTAAGTCTGAACTGGCCAAATGTCGGAACTCGGAAATTACTTATAATAAAAAAATCGCGGAGATTGGAAGAACAAACGACGAAAATCGGAATTCCGACCCATTTCTACTAGGTATTGGATCAAAGGAGCATGAGAAAATATAACGCTTCATGTAGTACGATTAAAAACATTAGTTGTTTAATTTGTTGTTAACATATTAGAATCATGAAATTATGATACTAAAGTGGACAATGTTATTAACCGGTACCTTCAGTTTTCTGTTTTGAGTTCTATTAAAATTCTAGTTATGTATATTCTAGAAGAATTTTTTTTCAAAAATTTTCGTTTATATTACTGTATACATTTAGTAAATGACAGACGTAAAATAATCAAAAATAATTATTTTTTAAATTAAATACTTCACTAGAATTTAACTTTTAAAATAAAATGTTAAATTTTCTATTAAATACTTTAATTATCTTGGCGGCATGGCAACTTTTACACTTAAAATTATTTAAACAAAAATGTAACGAAAGTATAAAATTTTTTGTTTTTAAGCCTATTTAATTATTTTAAAAACACTTTTAGACTCATTATCAGATTTATTTTGTCGTAAAATTTTAAATAAATACCTATATTTTAATTACCGTATATACTGTATTTATTACCCTCCCTCAAATAGTTACCCCACCTGCTTTTATTACCCCCTTTAGCAAGAGATCGAAATAATAATTGCCCTCCCTCAAATAATTACCCCCTATTTTTTCTAAGCTAATGTTGAAAATATTTATTAAAAAACATTATGATTTTAACAATGGGCATTTTAAGGATCATATAAAAAATAAATCAAGAAAATAATAGGATTTGGAGAGGATAACCCGGATACTTTTAATTTTTAAGCATTTATGGATCAATATTCTGTCTTTAGTCATATTATAAGAAGTATATTTACAGAATGTAGGGTATATTCCCTAAATAGGAATCATACATACTTTTATACACATGACCATCGTGTCTTTATATCTCCCAGGGAGGAAGCATTGGTGTTATTGTACCGTATTGGGGTATATTATATATGAAAGTATTAAGGGAATAAAAAATATCTGTAAAAATTTACTAATATTTATCTCTGCATTCGGTAACATATTGTATATTACTGTTCATATCTTTACGATAAAATAAAAAATTTACAGGTCGAAATAATAATTGCCCTCCCTCAAATAATTACCCCACCTGCTTTTATTACCCCCTCCAGCGAGAGATCGAAACAATAATTACCCAGGGTAATTAATACAGTATATACGGTATTCTTTTTTATGCTACAAATATTTTGTTTATTATAATGAACTTATAATACATAAAAGAGATAGAAAAAGTTAATTAGTTACGTAAATGAAATTGTAGATCAAGTCCAATTTTTTACGTTATATTCGAAGAGTCATGAAAGTACAGAATTATATATCGAATTTATGTTTGGAAATGAATAAAAATTATAATGTAGTTTTTTAAAGAATTTATTGAGTATTTTTATCTACTTGTGTTTATGAGTTTAGGTTGATTTTCGAGGTATCTGGACTTTAGGTTAAGAGATTGGCTTAATTTATTAAATTTTATATATCAACTTATATGTTTAGGGTTGCCAATATGCACCGAAAAAAATAGCAACCCTATATATGTTTGCTGGGATTTTTGTAGAATTTTCCATAAAAGTTATAAACATGAAAATTCAAAGTGTTTTATACTAGAGTACGTACGAGTTCGATCGGGGTTTTTCGTTCTCACTCGTTTTTCGTCCGGCTCGGAACTCTGGATCATAATACTGGGGGGGGGGGTATCCTATTATCTTAAACTTACTCAACAGACCCGGAATAAACCAAGTCGGGGTTTTCCCAATTACTCGATACACGCTCGGTTTTCCACCAATTACTCGGTACTCGACGTACTCTAGTTTATACTTCCGTAACTAATTCCACTCATCATGTTCCAATTTCATTGAATTGCTTGTTGTGGTAAATTATGAGGAACATTTGCAGTACCATTAGTTGAGAGAAATGGCGGGTGGCTTCCTATGGTTATTGGATGTACAATAACATTCTTTCTAATAATTTTCTTAAGCATTCCGATGCAGTCACGTTGGATTGATTTGTTCATTGTTAAGTAGATAATTGGTGGAATTCCTTAAATTATTTTCAAGTATATTATGTTATACTGAAGGATATGAATTTCTAGAAAAATTTTCCATTTTTCCTTAACCTTCTTTCCTTCGGGAAGTACAAATTCGGTGTTAATTCAAATGATTTTTCGGAATAGGTAGTCAATTGGGTAGTCACTAGGTAGACAATTGGAAAATGTAGTCAACCCCTACTGTTTTTCAATTTTCAGGAATTTATATTTCTGTCCACAGGCATTTCCGCTCCTGAGTGTCTTGATCACCGATACGAAAGTATGACCTATGATTCTACCCAATCTAGAGCTAGCCCTCGACTAATCTAAAGCCTTTATTTTACTCTCTTATTCGTACCATGCGCATTAAGCCAACTAAATTGTGCAAGTACAGTCAACAGTTCGTTAACATGGAAATACTGCATATAAACATAAAGACTAGCGGCTGATGCATGAATTAAACTAATCAAAAGAACTTGAATAAATATCTGAAATATAGAGTAAAATTCTTTAAAAAATTAATTAAAAACCAATTTATCTGAAAAAGTTTGCTGATCATTTGGCTGTATTCTACCTTTAGATCTAATTAAGAAAATGATGTAAAACGTGATATAAATAACCACTAGTAGTGCCAATACTATATTATTATGTATTGCATGTATTAAATTTTCATACTAAAATAATTATTTTAGTTTTATCAATAATGACAGTGATCTAAATGATTGAGTCCTTGACTCAGGCACTCATTTAATTTTGTTTTTATTTATATAACTCGACCAATGTGTTTTCTAATCCGTCATGTTTTTATCGCCAAAATCCAAAAGTTTCTTAATTATTTTTTATTAAATAAGTTTCTTTTTCTGATCGCAAATAATTTGGTAAATTATATAGAATAATATGTCATAAAAATAAAATCCTTAATTATTAGACATGTAAGGTTTACATTTTTAGTATTCATAACATACTCTATTTCTAGATAGTAGGTTAGAAACTGGACCTGGTCACGGATACTGATCTTGGTATCCGTATCCGCATATTTACGGCTAATACAGACGGATACAGGCGGATATCCGCAGGCATTTTTATGATATCTGTATCCATACCCGTATCCATGGGCAGGTCTGTAAGAAACTGGACTGGGATGCCGTACGAGAATAAAGATTGTGCGAGAATCGAGATAACTTTGTCTAAAATCATAATATCGAAATATAATTTGATAATATATTGAATTTTATTCAATAAACTAGGCCAATTGTTAGGAATAACCTACAGTTTCATTGGTATCATCAATGTAAAACAGGTGTGGATTAAAAAACCAACTAAAATATATGCTACTGAAATTTACGGGCTTTGTAAAGAATGCTGATGCTATCCCATAAATTACTGGAACTACAATCCAAACAATAAGCTTTTTACCTTTAAAAATTTAAAAATTTCTATTTTTAATTTTATGAATACCGTTAAAAAATTTATCTGCCAAAACATTGGACCAAAGCTCAGCACAACGGTTTATAGCCAGAACAACCTCCATTGTTGATTCAGCAGACCAACAAACTTAATAATAAACATTTAAGATAATTTTTAATTAACTTACACATTGCATAAGCCCCAGCAATATATATTAAACGCGGGGAAGAACAAAAAACATAACCATTATAACCCAAATAACCAGTTAATAATCCCGCATCTAAAAGTGCCATCATATCAATAACACCGATACAAAACATTATTTTGTAGCAATGGCTATTTCTCATCCTTTTCCATATGGAAAACATACAGGGGATATATAAAATCTGATTAGAAACAATAAATTTTTCTTATAAATTCTTAATATAGCAAACAGTAAAAAATAAACTCTAAAAATTTTGCTCCAAAAATTTTGCTCTATATGTCAAAACTTATAAAAATTTATTTTTAGAATTTTTTTTAGCCTATTGAAGAGCTAATAGAAGCATGTGTGCTTCTATTTTTCGATCCTCTCGTAGGGTGTTCTTCTATTAGAGATATTAATTAAAAAACTAACCTATAGCTCGGGGTTACTATTACCCGCATTTTGCAATATATATGGGTTAACCTGGGCTAAGGGTTCGTTAACCCCTACAGTTTTTATAATACACATTCCCCATGTATCAAATCAAGTGAATGAGCTCGATGGCTATAGAAAATTATTTTTTATAATCACCTCACAAATTGTGCCAATAGTGAAGAAAAAAATTCCAAGCCATTCATGTTTACGTTTCTCCAAAGGTATTTGGTCAATACTATAGGAACTACAATTATATAAACGTTCATATTCATCAGGTTTAAAGAAATAATCATCCATTTTCAATTTGAAATTCAACAGAATATAAATATTTATATCCTATTTTAATGTTAATTTTTACTAATTTTTTAAATTGTTTCTTCAAAAGAATAAATTTTTTTAATAAAATGGAATACATATAAAATCAAAATTGTCTAAATTTCCTGTTTCAAGATAACTAGAAACTTTTTACGCAGCTGTAGATAGACTGACTGACCTTCCAAAACCATATGATGAGTTATTTTTATTTATTTACCTATATCCTCTCTACAATTTTGGACACAGAACCAATATGTAGTACATACAAGGTATCCTGCCGTCTCGATCCCGAGAATCGGGAATGCCCAACGATTTTTTGGGTCGGGATCATAATTCCCGAGATCCAGAATTTTGGTTTTTTTTCTGCAGGATCTCTGGTAAATACAATTTATTCTTTTTTTATAAATTTTGATTTGTGTGAATAATAAGGTAAATATTAGTAAATGATAGACATTTTATAGTTAAAAATAATTATTTTATTTGTGTAAATTATGTATTTTGGCTGGTAACTCTTATTATATGTACAATTATTTAAACAAAAATATATCGCAACTATGAAAATTTTAGTTTTTAAGTCCTTTTAATTATTTTGAAAATATTTTTAGACTTAGTATCAGATTTGGTTCTTAGTAACATTTTAAATAAACAATATTTTAATTATTTTTCCCTGAGCCAAATCTGATTTATGTATATTTTAACTGAACTGAGAGAACATAAAAGAGATAAAAAAAGTTAATTAGTTACGGAAAAATGAAATTATTATATTTGACGCACAGTCATAAAAATGAAGAAATATGTATGTATATGGTCAATGTTTTTATGTGTGTAAATAAATCAAAATTTTTGAATAATTCTGAGGATGAGGCAGTGGATACAGAAAGGATATCACTATCAGTAATCACACACACACTAACCAACCGTGGATTCGAACCAAGCCCAACAAAATATAAAAGTGAGTGAAGTTAGTCTCTCGTACCCATTTGCTCGTACTCATACTTCGTAAACAGGTACGAGTATGAATTTTGGTACATCTTTAGAAAAATAGGATGCAAATGAAATATAGCGAAAAAATGTAATATTTATTTTGGTGCCACTAAAACGGCTCTTGGTTGCAGGTTAAGTTGCTGTGCTGTATTACGTGGCTGAAATGACGGGTGGCTTCCGGTAGTTATTGGATGTACAGTAACGTCCATTCGTATAATTTTCTTAAGCATTTCGAGGCAGTCACGTTGGATTGATTTGTTCATTGTTAAGTAAATGACAGGCGGAATTCCTTAATTATTTTAGTCTTTTATTATATAGCTAGTATTAGGAATTGGATTTGAGGAATATTAAAAATTAAAGGAGATTAAGATGGCTTTTGTGTTAATTACTATTATTGATGTATCTCGGAAGTTCCAAATCACCTTCTTAATTCTTAAATCGGAGATATGAGAGGATCTGTAGGATTAAAGAGGATATCAGGTAAGGAGGTTCATTATTTCCACATATTACTTCCTCAATACATTGTTCCGTGTCCGGACAAAATAACGAATCGTTAAAATATGGAATAGGCTAAAAAAGGGTTAAAATATCGAATCGGGTAAAAAAGGGTTAAAATATCGAATCGTTAAAATATGGAATGGTTAAAATGTCGACACGGCCAAAATAGGTCAAAATGTCGAATTATTTTAAAAATTGTGCTAAAAACTAGAACCTGGACGGTAACGTAATACCGACGGTATTTTTCGGTATTTATCCGTATTCCGTATCGGTAGTACGGGCGGAATACGACCGATAAAATTTAAAAGGTGAACCGTATTTTTCGGTATTCCGTACCGTGGTACGGTACTCTAATTTTTCCGGATCAAGAAATCGCGTTGTCTTCCGGATCCGCACGATCATGCCGGACCGGATCCGGTCGATTTTCTTGATTTATCCGGTCCGGTTTTACTCGGTAAAATACACTGAACTCAGGTATTCCGTACCGTTTTTTTCGGTAGTTTAACCCCAACTTATCAGCAGTAAGTTGATAAGTTGATAAATATCAACAATCAACGTATGACCCTCATCTGACCCTTTTTTAAAGGAATTCGACATTTTGACCCATTTTGGCCGGGTCGACATTTTAACCATTCCATATTTTAACGATTCGATATTTTAACCCTTTTTTACCCGATTCGATATTTTAACCATTCCATATTTTAACGATTCGGTATTTTAACCCCTTTTTAGCCTATTCGCGATTTTAACCATTCCATATTTTAACGATTCGATATTTTAACCCTTTTTTACCCGATTCGATATTTTAACCATTCCATATTTTAACGATTCGGTATTTTGTACCGGAGCCCATTGTTCGTTCACCTTTCATCTTTTCTCATCCATTCCTACCAATTATTCATTCACCTCCTCTCATGTTTTCTCAGATTGTCACCTTTTTCCAATTTGAATTGGTAGTGGGGGAAATAAAAACTAATTTTTAATTTGAATTTATATTTTTCTACTAACTTTGGGAATTTCCCAAAAATCCTGACCATTTATTTCACTTTTTACTCTTACCATGAGCATTAACCCAACTAAAATGGCCAAGTATAATCAACATCTCGTTAACATTGAAATATTGCATATAAAAATAAATAAAAGCAGCTGTAGCATTAGTTAGACTAATCAAAAATACTTGCAGGAATATCTAAAATAAGGATGCATGTCTCTAAAAATTATTTTATTTATAAACCAATTTTTCTGAAAAAGTTTGCTGATTAATTGGTTGTTCTCTACCTTTGGATCTAACTAACAAAATGATGTAAAACATACTGTAAATAATCACTAATAATGCCAATATTATATTATTATGTGTACAACTGATTAAATTCTCATACTTAAAATAATATTTTATATATTTTTTTGCTTTTAACTTTCGAAGGCGGGGGCTTAGTTTACGAGCAGTGTTTGGAATTTTGAAATTTGCTTGTACTCGTACTCCTACTAACGCTACAAATCCACATTATCACTTACAACTTTAAATCTCTAATTCTCGTCATAATTCTAATCTCTAATCATAATTCTCCTATGTCCCCCTTAATCCCATAAAATCCATTTATATCCCTCGATATCACCTATATCCCTCTTGATCTCTCAACATCAAATACAAGTCCCCTTATATTCCCTTTAATCTGTCCAAATCCACATATACCCCATTTAATCAATATTAATCTCATTAAACTATAGCGACTGAACTGAGGTATATACAAGGGGGACTGAACGTAAAAAATGAGGAGCCCCGGAATAATTAAATAGCTATCTCTTTTGCAATTTAACATACGGTTTCATTGGTATCTTCAATGTATGACAGATGTGGATTAAAAAACCAGCCAAAATAGGTACTACTGAAAGCTACTGGCTTTGTAAAGAATGCCATTGCAAAACCATAAATCACTGGAATTGCTATCCAAACAATCAACTTTTTACCTTGAAAAAATTTTGAATTTTCATTTATAATAGCTTTAGGATAATGAACACGGATTTGCGTATCTGTATCCGGATATATCCGTGAGGTCAATATCAGTATCCGTTTATGTCCATGTAACCTTTGAGCCAATCAATCACTATCCCCAAACATAACCATTTTCTAAAAATGGTCAACCTGGGCACGTACTATAAGAACGGGCAACCTGGGCCCGTAATATACTATAAGAATCTGGTCATTTGCCCAGGCCATTTAACCTATACAGAGAGATAATTTGGTACTATTAGAGGTTTGGTATTTTTCTTCTTGCTTACCACAAACAACTTCTCATATATTCGGAACAACTTCCTCCGTAATCTGGTCAACTTTCCCCGTTATCGGAACAAATTCCTACAGTCGGAAAATCACAATGTCTTTGGAACTCCATATTGGAAAATAGTTGGGGAATTCTACATATTTGGAAAAATTTCGGAAATTTTTACTGTATCCGAATATTATCCGTATCTTGTGCATCTGTTTTATGCTTACCGTTAAACAATTTATCTGCTAAAACGCTTGACCAAAGCTCAGCACAACGGTTTATAGCCAAAACAACCTCCATTGTCGATTCAGCACACCAACAACCTTATTTAATAATTCAGATCTCAAAATAATTTTTAATTCTTTTACCTAGTGCATAAGCCCCAGCAATATAAATAAAACGCGGGGAAGAACAAAAAACATAGCCATAATAACCCAAATAACCAGTTAATAATCCATTACACAAAAGTGTTAGCATATCAATAACACCGATACAAAACATTATTTTGTAGCAATGGCTATTCTTCATTCTTTTCCATATTGAAAACATACAGGGGATATATAAAATCTGATATAAAAAATAAATTTTTCGTTTAAATTTTCAATATAACAAACAAAAGACTAAAGAAGAGACATCGAAAGTCTAACGTTTTTACTATTAAATTCCCCAATTTTATCCGGCTTATCTTTATCATGAAATAAGAGGATTATTCTTTTCGATATTAATCAGGCAGTATATTAGAAGTCTTATGTTTTTCGAATTTATGTCTAGAAAATTAACACTTATAATTATCACCTCATAAATTGTGCCGATAGAAAAGAAAAAAATTCCAAGCCATTCATGCCTACGTTTTTCCAAAGGTATTTGGTCAACACTATAAGAACTACAATTATATAAACGTTCATATTCATCTGGTTTAAAGAAATAAACATCCATTTTTAATTTTAAATTCACCCGTTTAGGAAGTAGCTAAATTGCAAAAAAAAATTCTTCGAAATTTTATTTCATACTCGACAACTAGCCAATAAAAGTTGCTACAAGATACAATGGACCCATCTTTCAGAGAATTAGTACATTTTAGTCATTTATTAGTACAATTTTAGTACATTTATTATTGCATTACTTTAGTATCTTGTAGCAAATTTTACTGGCTATCTAGCGGACATACATAATAGGAAGTTTTTATTTCTACCCTAATAAGTCGAAATATAATAACTTCTGTACACCTATTTCTCTTTTATTTTGGAGTTTTCATAATTTATTTTGTTTTTTTGCAAAAACACTTTGCTGGAAAAAAACCAAATATGCTATTAGTTTTTCGATATTAAAATTTTCGACAAATTTACATTTTAATTTGTTTAAATATTTTGCACTTTTTTGCCAAAATTTTGCGTTTCTTAGTAATTTTAGTCGAATCGAATGCGTATTCCAGCTTAGTTACTAAATAAACAGTAATTTTTTTCAATGATTTTATGGCATTTTTTGTCAATATTTTGCCGATTTATTTCAATATTTTATGGCCGTATTTTGCGATTTAATTTACATAAAAATCTGGACTCTATAGTAATTTATTAAAGCTTTTATGTTAAATTATTAGTACATATGTAAATATTTTCTCGTAATAATTATACTTTTTTATCCGCTATAATGTTTTATTGACGTACAATTTTTAAGTCATGAAAAAACTTTTTAGACATACTATTATCAGATTTAAATAATATTTTAATTATTCTTTTCCAGCTACAAATGTTTTGTTTACTTTGTAATGGTGAACTGAGAACAAAAAGAGTAAAAAATTAATTAGTTACGGAATAATGAAAGTACTAGATTAAATACAAATTATTATGTTATTTACGGTGGATTCGAACCCGCCCTATGCCAAACACTCTAACGCACTTGTTCCTAATAAAAAAGCATGGTCTCCTAATATTAATTTTTCAGGCACGGGCCCCCCTTAGGCATGGGCCTTTTTTTGCCAAAAAAATCTTCGGAGTCGGGGTTTTGGTGGACGAGAAGCTACCCTAATTTACACTATTTATTTATAAATTATTCTTGTTAATAATTTTATTTTTTTTATTAAATCAACAATTTCAATGAAAAATAAAGAGCTAACTTATCACTAAATAGAAGAAAAGTATAGAATGATCCTTAAAATTGATCAATTTATTTTTGATTGTGAGAAATAAAATAGGTAAAAATTGAGGTTTTTCATTATTTTTTGTTAAATTCCATCAAAAATATGTTCAATTTTAGCCTCATTTTTACCAATTTTATTCTCTTTAACAGAAATTCCTTCTTATTAATTTAAATTCTCGGTGTCCCAAAAGAAATGCCCATACTTTCAATATGACACTCATCATTTCCTTGAGCAATCAAAAAAGTTCCTTTCATTCCCCATTCAACATTCCACGAATTTATAGCAATCCAGAAGGGTTGATCAACACCATCACATGTTTGTGTTCCCCATCCAATAAGTCTTATTGCATGCCCTCCATCATATTCACCGGTTGTATGCTTAATTATTTAGATTATATTTCTAATAAAACATTTATTCACTTTGTAAACTCCTTGACTGTAATGGTAGAAATCTGAGTAGACATACATTGTCCCAACAACAGTACCGTTAGTTTGGATTTCAGCTTTAATTGCATCTACAACTTCTTGGCCTGTAGATCCTGTTAGACCTGCTGCCCAAGTAGCTAAATTAGAAATTTTTGTGTTTTATATTCAGAAAATCTTTCTATAACCATATTTTTTATCATTTCTATAATTATTTTGCCAGTTAGTATTTGTACAATAAGGAGAACATCCAGGAGCTTTATATGTTTCAGTTCCGATTGGGGGAAATGGATAAGGTTTGCATCCAGTGTATTGGGTATAGTTAGAGCCAGTAACAATACCATTAGTTTGCATGTACTGCCAGGCATAGAGAGGCCATCCACCGCTGCATCTGAAATTTACAAGGAAATTTTAGTCTTATGAAATTTATTTTTAGGTATATTATTTCCCAAGAATTTCAAAGGGCCGTTTTGGGTGAATTAATAAAATAATTACCCAAAAGTATTTGGCGTACAACTCATCAAATCTGATTCAGAGAATTGATTTCTTGGATTATATGGAGATGTATATAATCCCAACTTTGCTCTCTCAATACAATAACGATCAGTAAAAGCAGACCCACTAGCTACTGCCCAACAATCCCCACAGGTTGATTGGTCCCTAATATTATCAATTATTTTAGCACATTGTGGCCATTGAGTGCGTGAATCGAATTCGTAGTAGTAAGTACATTGATCAGCAGAACGTTTTGAACGATTTTTGGAAGCTAAAGGTTAAATAAGGATATTATTTTTTTTAATTTAAAAACAATTTTTATTTGTTTTATCTTCAGCAATATGTGTTAAATTGTATGGACGAGGTAAAGATCCGTCTACGGGGCCGTTAAGTCCTTGCATTTTCTTTCTTTGGGTTGGAGGCATTGCAGCAAAACGGTGATTGTATTTTGCCTTTTAATTTTTTAAATTAAGAATCTTTTATCATTTGAAAAAGAATTCTCACAGTCCAAGTCCCATCACCAATCTCTCCCCCATTCAATTTTTCCACAAAATTACGCGCCTTTTCACATCTGACAGATTTCTTTTTTGAGTCCCATTTGCTTGCAAGGAATGCAAAGTCAAAAACAGAAACTAGGATGACCGCGAACAGAAGGAATTTCTGTTAATTTGTAAGATTAGAAGTTTTCAAGGCATTGATAAATTAATAATGATTAGGATTCAGGAGAACAATAATTTCCAGGAGAGAAATTTTTTAGTAATGTGGTGAGTCAAAATCAAATTTTGGTAGAAGGCATATAACAGATAATCTTATTATAGACACAAAATTAATGTTTTAATTATAGAGAGTTCTGTTTGTTAGAATTAATTATTTTATCTCATAAATTTTAGTAAATTATAACTAACCATTATTTTGTTTTGACTCTGATAGACAGTTATGCCTTTCAGTGTTTGAATGAATGTGATTTCTGAGTGACATGAGATCCCTTATAAAGCCCAGCTTTGTCAAATATAAGTTCATTTGTGTAAATATAAATGAAATTTAAGAAAAAGATAAAAGGGCAGAATAAACTAAAAAACTATTTAAAAAACAGTTGATGCCCCATATATATCTTTTGTCTATAAATTTTTTTTTGAAATTTATTTTTAAAATTTTTAAATTATTGTTAAAGTACATTTAAATAATTATATTTTTATTTATGCAGCTAAAAGTAAGCGATACCTATTTTATTAAAAAATATCTAAATTAAAGCTTTTATGCACTTTAAAAATATCTGTAATTTGTTGAATTAGTAAATTTTCTAAGTATAATATTCTAGAATATTTCAAAATATACATACCAGGGGAAAAAATCGAATTCACGATTTTCGGGAATCGTGAATCGGGTCGGCGCGATCCCTGATACATACATCAAAAACAATTACATAAATTTTTATTTCAAATTAATAATTCGCTAATATAAAAAGATTTTTAATTCTTATTCCAAAATAACAAATTCACAATTTGAATAAAATACTTAATTTATAAAAATAATAACAGGTTTTTATGAAAAAAATTCTTTTTAATAAAAAGAAAATGTACCAGAACCTGCATAAAAATGTTGAAATATGCACAAATGTTCATTAAGAACTTAGCCCTAAAAGCTTAAATAAACGTAAAAATTCCATTTAAGATTCCGTTAATTCAAGGAATATTTGCGTGATTAACCAACCAATTAAAATTAAATTTTTTTAGAAAAAACATTAACTTTCCTTACTTAAAGCAATTCATAAAAACATTTAATTTTTGGACAAATTTGTTTTAATTTTTTTTATTTTTTAAATTTTTATTTATACACAAGCATGCTTAATCTACAAACTATATATTATAAATCAATATAAAAAATTAATTTTCCCTTAATAAAATATAATTTTTAATAAACAATTTTTTATTGACTTATAAAATATTATTTAAAATTATTATTTATGTATATTTAAATATTAATTGGTAATTTTGTTAATAGTGTCGGACTGACCATTATTGTCATTTATAACTTTTAAGAGAAAAGGAGTGAAAGGAACAGAATGTCAACTGAAAACCAAAAAGTAAAATGCTTGTCTATGACTAGCTGACAATCGAAAATAAAGTCCAAAACGCCATACTTCGCCTGCATAGAACGTTCTTGATAAAACCCCCAATTTGAATCCGCTTTCTTAAATTCAAATTCACTTTCATAATTATCTCAATCTCTCAAAATTTAAATTTTCAAACTGGAAAGCTAGAATTCTTCCATTTTAACATTTCAAAATCTAAAAGTTCAAGGGAGAAAAAGCCGAAAACAGAAAGTTTGTTGAAGCTCCCCCTCAGAACCCCAGTGAACCCCACTTAAACTCTAAATAATGTATTCTAATTCGAGGTTTGCCTTTAATCGAAAAATAGCAAAATTCCATTCCCACAATTTGTTAATTTTTAAATTATTTGCACTTAAATTCAAAAGATTTAATAATTTTAAAATCGACTTTGCTCTTTTTGTGCCTTTTTGTGCCATTCCTTTCATATTAGCGCCTTTTATTTATTAAATTTATTACAATTTGTTTATTATTGAGAAAAACGGGCTAGACATTAAAATTTATATTTAGCTTTACATATACATATTATTGTCTAATTTATAAATTGTTTAAGTTGAGAAATTTTGTAAATTTTTTAGCATATTAAAAGAATTTTTTTTGTTAAATTCGGGTTGTATTTAAATTATATTTGAGTTTTTAATTAACTATAGCTTTTTATCTTTTTCGGAGGTTATTTGGTAGATGGGAACGAACCAGCATCTACATACATTTGACCGGACTTATGTGTTATTCATTATACCACGCCGCCTACGTCACAGCCTTAGGAATTAAATAGCTATATGCTTTACATTATAAACCAGGCTGAGACTAGATCTTGAACAAAAATGTTGGTATCGAGATTTTTTGAGATGCCGATCTCGATTTTAGTATGGTCTCCCATATAGGTCTCTATTTTTCATATAATTTGAATTATTATTATTAACATTAACTATGTAGTATTTTAATAACTAAAAAATATCTTTCCCTATAAGGATAAATAAATAAATATGAAATAATTTCTTTCTTTTTTTTTATATTTTTTAAATATAATATTTATTAAAAAAATTTTAAGAAAAAAATTTATTCTATATATGTATGAAAATATTTTCTTGTAATTATTTATTAATTATTCAATTAATTTTAATTTTATTTTGTTATCTAATTAATTCTGTAGATGATAAAGGAAAAGAAAAATTACCGAATGAAGAAATTGAAAATTTTGGGAATAATGGAGAAGAAGAACATAGAAGTGTATTAAAAATTAAGAAAGAAAAAGAAAAAGAAAAAATTGGAAGCTCAAAAAATCAAGAAAATGAAAATAAAACACTCAAAAATGTAAATTTCGATTCTAAAATTAAAATTAGAAATTTTGAAGAAAATGATGAAGAAGGTTTAATAAATGAAATTAACGTGGATGAAATGGGAGAAGATAATTATATTAGAGAGGAAAATAGGAAAAAATTAATTAATGAACAACGGACAAATAAAAATAAATTAATTATTCCAAAAAATATGCAAGAAGGTAAAGTACGTACCGTATATGCTCGAATAATTACCCTGGGTAATTTTATTGTTTCGACCTCTCGCTGGAGGGGGTAATCATCTCAATAAATCTCATAAATCGAAGAAAATCCATTTATTTTTTTATATAGATTCTTATAATTTTTCAATAATTAAAATGGACAATGATTTTTTCAATATTTTTAAAATTAGAGAAGGAAAGGGAGGGGGTTATTATTAAAGCGGGTAATTATTTGAGAGAGGGTAATTATTCGAGCATTTACGGTATTTTGTGTTATGTACCGACACGCGGTGTGTCAGTTACTAACAGGAAGACTTGACTAACAATAAGGCTTATCACGAAAGAAACAATGCCATAGAATAACGAGACTGAGTTGGAGTAGGTTACAGGCCGCGACTACAGAATAAAATTAACAATAGACTAACAACTTAAAAGGCTTCGCCATTTATACTAAATACGCCACCTTAACACTTTTTTTAAGGCCGGTTAAGTTTCCAGCCTAGCAGATAAATAAAAATGGCAGTCGGTAATGTGATGGTTGAACTCGGAATCAAAAACTCATTCTTTGTCTATTTTCTGGGATAGTGTTTCGCCTCTTGCTATACCGAGGATTTAGCTCTGCCTATAGTCCAAGTGGCAGTCGGTAATGTATAGTTAAGCAGAGCTGGGTATTGTAGCTATTTCTCTTTCAGCTACTACATAAAGAAAATCATTGTAAAATTTAGTTTGCTTATAGTCTAAGGACATTTGTTTTAAATTGTTAAAGTTGTTTTAAAGATAAATGAAAGAAAATTTGAATATAATAATTTTATAATTTTCAGAAATAAACCAATTAATTGACGAAGCAAATAGAATTAAAAAAAGTAAATATTTCACAGATTTATTAACTTCATTTAATGAAATAATATTTAATGAAGGACATAGAAAATATAATTTTAAACAAATTTATAAATTAAATAAAAATATTTTAAAAAATTTAAAAAATGAGAAAGAATTTAAAATATTTAATAAAATTTTGAATGAAAAATACGAGGAGACAATTGGGGATGCAACTAAATTGAAAGGAATTAAAGAAAATAATTTTAAGGTTTTTATTTATGAATAGAATAAAAGTAAAATATAGTTAAGCAGAGCGGGTTATAGTAGCTACAGATTTCTCTTTCAGCTAATGCATAATAGAGATAGGTATTTTCAAAAATCCTAAATCTGGATTCTGGACTTTGGATTTAGGTTAATAACCTGCACAAGATTCAGGATCTGGATCCAGGAGAAAAATCCAGATCCAGAAAAAATCCAGAACGATAAAAAAATGCCTGGATCTTGACTCTGGATCCAGAAAAAATTCAGACTGGATCCAGATCCTGACCGATCTCTACTGCATAAGGTTAACACAGGGCTCGGATTCGTACTTTATTTGAAAGTACAGTACTTTAAAATCGACCTCCGTACTTACGAAATTGAATTTGTACTTTATTGAAAGTATGTACTTTAAAATCAACATTTTTAAAAAAATGGAAGAAATCTGGCTTAAGGACCTCCAAATTTCTCAAAATTTTCGCCTGCGGCGCAAAAAATGAAGAAATCTGGCTTAAGGACCTCCAAATTTCTCAAAATTTTCGCCTGCGGCGCAAAAAATGAAGAAATCTGGCTTAAGGACCTCCAAAATTCTCAAAATTTTCGCCTGCGGCGCTGAAAATGGGAGAAATCTGGCTTAAGGACCTCCAAATTTGTCAAAATTTTCGCCTGCAGCGCAAAAAATGGATTTTCTGGCGCCATCGCCGCCACAAAAAGTGCATTGTAATGCACAAAATGCTAAGTTGAAACAAGAAATTATTAGAAAAGATTAATTTAAAAGAGAAATATAAAAGATTTGAGCACGAATATATATTTTCTAATTTAATTTTGAGTGTACTTTAAATGTGGAAATTTTGCCCCTATGTACTTTAAAATCAAGATTTTTGTACTTTTTATTGGCATTTTGTCGATCCGAGCCCTGGGTTAACAGTTATCTTGAGTCGAACGGAATGCTGTATTATCCATTACACAACAAGCTAGGAATTAAATAGCTATAAACTTTACAATAGCCAAAACTCGGGCAAAAATACAATATCCTTACTTTCGTTAATATTATTCAATAACTAAATATTCTGCTATCTGAAACCCTAACAAAAAATTAACAAGAATTATTTTTAAATCAGAAATAATTTCACAAAACGGCGATTTCCACAAACAATAAATTTAAAAATTATTTTTTAAATTAAGGAATTAAAATTCAACAAAATATATAAAATGCTAGATTGGTGTTATACAGAAAACGAAATAAACAATAATTTCCACGATAGTCCAGAATTGGTTAATTATTTTGTAAAATGTTGTAGAAATTTAGAAGAAAGTCTAAATTGTTTTGTTAACGGTAAAAAAATGAAAAAAAGAAATGATAAGGAACCGGTAAGTACTGTAAAAATATGTAATGAAACTAGAGTTGTACCCCGACCCCGTACCCCGACCCCGTTCCCGAACGATTTTTTCACGATTCTCCCCGACCCGAACCCCGCCCCGAAAAAAAGTGAAAACCCCGTTCCCCGGCCAAAAAAATTTCGGGGTTATCGGGGTTTTATACCCCTAAAAAATGTCATTTTTTGGAGAAATTAATGAAGAAAATTTAAAAAATTTCCACCCATTTTACTTTACTTTTATTATTTGTGAAAGAAAAATGAATGAAATATCATAATTTTCTTTCCTTTTTTATTAAAAGACTTGTGGTTGAGTGGCTTAGTCGGTGGTTTTAGCCGATATTTTGTTAATATAGGAGTGGGTTTGGATCCATATAAGGAGAACTCTATTGTTTTTATATTTCTTTACAAAAACAAATTATTAACGAGTTAAATTTTAATTTGAAAATATTAATATTATTTTTAACTGATATCCCTTGAACCACCCTTAATCCTTCAACCCCTGTATCAGAGGAGGGTCGAAATTCCGATTTCCGACGTTTTTTTCTTGCCTATTTCCGAAATTTTGGAAAAATTTCCGATTTCCATGAATTTTTAAGGCAAATTTCCGACGAAGATTTTTCCAATATTTTCAAAATTTTCGCCTGCGGCGTAAAAAACGGAAGAAATCTGGCTTCTAGCCTTCTATAATTCTCAAAATTTTCGCATGCGGTGCATAAAATGGAAGATTTTTGCCTTAAGGATCTTCCAAATATTCAAAATTTTGCCTGCGGCGCTGTTAATGGGAGCTGAATGGTAATCGGAGGATTTAATCCTTAAAAATCCCACTTAATCCCTCCAGATCCACTTATATCCCAAGTTATACACTTTAATCTCTTCAAATCCCCTCTAATTTCTTCAAATCCTACTTAATTTTTGAATAAATCAACGAAAATATATCGATTTCTAATTATTTTTGAGCATTCTTTTCTCTAAAAATTTTTCCACTAAACCCCCGTACCCCGACCCGAACCCCGGCCATATTTTGCTCCCCCGACCCGAACCCCGCCCCGAAACAATTGGAAAACCCCGTACCCCGACATACCCGCCCCCGAGCGTTCGGGGTACAACCCTAAATGAAACTTGCAAAAAAATGAAAAGAAGCAAAAGTTAAGTGAAATAACAGAATTTTAGATTGAAGTTTTTCGGCGTTTAGGGGTCGGTATTAGGTGTGTGAGGGGAGTTGTTTCAACGACAGGGGAGGTTGTTCCAAGTCGACTGTTACATTATTCACTAAATATTATGTCTGATGTAAAGTCAGATGTTAAGTCAGAGGTTAAGTCACGTGGTAAATCAGTTGTTAACTCAGATGTTAAGTCAGGTGTTATGTAAGTCAGGTGTTATGTCACGCCCTATTTATGACTTATTTTCAATATTTTTCTATTATTCTTTGGGTTCTTTGCCTGAAAGAAAAATACCAAAAATTTCCGGATATCCGGCCTACTTTTCGGATCCTTATATCCGGATCCGACAACCTTAGTTATTAGGGGTGTAGCTTGTTCACAAGTTTCATTCTGTGTAAATATCGTTTAGAAATTGAGAACTACTGAAAAAGTTGACGAAGAAATAGAAGATGAAGAAGAAATTGATGGAGAAAAAATTGAAGAAGACGTAGGAGAAGAAGAAAAAATGGAAGAAGAAGCAGATGAAGAAGGTGTAGATGAAGAAGAAAAAATTAAAAAATTTTTTGATTTATGGGAAAAAGAAATTCAATTACAAGAAGATGAATGGGAAGAGGATAAAATGTCTATATTAAATAAAAGTGAAGAGGACTTTTATTTAAATATTTTAAAGCCTTATTTTGAATTTATTTCAAATAAAGAAGAAAATGAAAAAATTAAAAATATTTTAAAAAATGAATTGGAAATGATGAAAACTAAATATATTGGAATTGAAAAATTTTTTAGAAATGAGAAAATGTTGGAAATTTTGAATGAAAATTTTTTTAAAATGTTTAGAAAATTGGTTGGGAAAAGAAAATTTAAAAATATTGAAAATATTAAATTGGAAGGTATTGGAGGTAAATATCAGGTAGAAATTAATTTTTTAATAAAAATTAAGGTACTTTTCGGTAGAGTTGGGCGAGATCGGGATCCCGACGTAAAATCGGGATCGGGATTTTGGAATGATGATCCCGATCCCGGTCCCGATCCCGACTGCGGGATCGGGATTGGACGAAATCGGGATCGGGATTCGGAATAATGATCCCGATCCCGGTCCCGATCCCGACTCGGGATCGGGATTGAAAAATCGGGATCGGGATTTAGTTAAAAAAAATTTTCAAAATTTAAATTTTTATTTACATTGCATATACCTCAATATAATTCCATAATTTTCATCTGCTGTGCTGAAATATTGATTTTAAGTCCCAGTGCGCATTTGTTCTTGGCGTATCAGGGATTAAGGAGGAGGGATAAAGTATTAACGATAAGGTGATTCTGATGGATTAAGAGGGATATCGTTGATTAATGAGATATTGGGATCTAGATGGACATCTAGGATATCCATTATATTCGTTCAAATCCATTCCGTCGATAGTTTTATAAATGAGTCTCTTCTTATTCACCGCCGGAGGCAAAAATTTTGAAAAATTTCGAATATTCTCAAGCCAAAATCTTCATTTTTAGCGCCGCAGGCGAAAATTTTGAAAATTTTGGATGGCGTAGAAGCCAAATTGCTTTCTTTTCAGCTCATTAATTTATATTTTCATTAATTTATAAAATCCCGATTTCATCGGGATCCGATTGCTAATCCCGATCCCGATCCCGGCTCGGGATCGGGATCGGCCAAAACCGGGATCGGGATTTGTCTTTCGGGTTCGGGATCAGAAAAATCGGGATCGGGATTCAAAAAAACCGGGATAATCCCGCCCGATCCCGACCGGGATCCCGATCCCGCCCAACTCTACTTTTCGGTTATACACCAACAAACTGAGTGCCAGCCAGATTTGATCGGCATTAACTTTTTGATGCTTAATCCAATTCAAATTAATTATATATCGTTCGAAAGCCCTCGATAAGAGGAATCTTTTTTCCGAGTTAATGGATCAATTCTGATCACTCGTTAAAAAGTTATAACCCGATAAATGTGAAAAATATCAAATAATTGGACTTATTGTGTTATAATTTTTAAATGATTGATCAAACATGATCTATGCTTCAGAACAAAGTTACCGTTTATCAAGGGCTTACGAATGATATAAGATTTATTTGAATTGGAACAAGCATTAGAAAGTTAAAGCTAATCAAATTTGTCTGGCACTCAGTTTGTGGGCGTATAACCGATAAATACTAAAATTAATTCATCAATAATATTTGGCTAAATTTTAATAGAGAATTAAACTGAAGAGACCAGAGGAAGTAGGGTTGGCATATTTTGGAAGTACCCGAGTATCCGGTTCAGACATTCAAACACGGAATTTCCCAGATATCCAGACCTTTTTCGGATCCATATTAGATATCCACATTTGCCAACACTAATAACAAGTTCAGTAAACCATTATTAACTAATATCCCTATAAAATCACGTTGTTAAAATTAAAGGATGTACATAAATATATCTAATAATTTAATTTAAAATCTAGGAATTCTATAATCATTTAAATGTACTAAAAGAACATGAATTCTTAAAAATGTTAAAAGCAAAAGAATTATGTGAGGAAATAAATAGAGAATTGATAAAAAGAGGTTGTGAAATAGCTGAAAAATATTTTGAAAATTTTGGAGTAATTTATGTAAGAGTAATTAATCCGTTAGAGAGTAAAGAATTTAATGATAGAACAATAAGACGAATAAACAAAAATGCAAATAAATTTTTGAAAAATTTGAAAAAAATTTGGGAAGGAGAATTTCCGTCAAAATTGAGACGATTAAGTACTAAAATTAAAAGAAAATTGAAATTTTTTAAAAATAAAAATATAAATGAGGAAGGATTAAATTTAATTTGAGGTATAGCTGGAGTGAAAGATGCTTCGGAATTTGCTGGGCTTGGAAATTAAAAAAAGATATTTATATAACCGATATTCGGAACTATTTTATAAATTAATTTAATTATAAAAATTATGTATCATTTATAATTAAAAATCTATTCATCCATCCGATTTTGTATTTTATAAATATATGCTACCTAATTTATACTAATATGACCACGCTGATTTTATTTTTCAACGCTTCAATTTTTTGGTTATATTAGAGAATGTGATTAATAGAGTTGTGGTTTTATTGGAATAAATAAGGTATACCTTATCTACATGAAAAATGTAAAATTAAAGATGTGCAAACAAAACCTTTGCGGATCGTTTATAAGCATATACAAAAAAGACATCCTTCCTTTCCCCATTACAAATTTATATTTCCAAATTAAAAATATACTCAAAACAAATATTTCGTAATTCAAATCCTAATAGCAGTAATAGTTTTTGATTGCTGATATTGCTTATAAACGAAATTACTAAGAAAAGCCCGTGGTGATACATATTAGGGATCCTGCTGACAGAAAAGTTATTCCTGATTTCGTGAATAGACTCGGCAGGATTTCTGATACATTGATGTTCTTTTATTGTTTTAAACTAATTTGTAATGTAGCAACCCGACCCTTCGGGTGCGGGCGTGTCGGGGATCGGGGTTTGTTGGGGCAGAGCTTTCGGTGTTCGGGTCGGGTTTTTGCTAAAAAAATCCGTCGGGGTCGGGTTGCTATCCTTTTTAAACACATTCATATATGTATTCAATACAAAAATTTATTTAAATTTAAATGATTAATCCCAACTTATTAAAGCCATATTGGCCATCAGGATTTTCGTGAATCGAGTCGGATTTTTTAAAAATGTCTAAAAAATTGGAATCAAAATTGAATATACTATTTTTAATTTTATACAATTCCATTTGTTTATTTTATATATTTTAATTTATAAATCTTTAAACAAAAAATTTACAAAAAATTATTTTGATTTTTTACAAAATCTTTAATTTAAATATTTAATTAATTTCAAACATTTTTCGAATATAAGCAGGTATTTCTGAATCAGAAAAGTGCCTAGACATAAAGCGGAGAGTTGCCAAAGTTTTTTTCGCCTAAATTCAATTTAATAAATTACTATTCAAGTAAACTTTATTTTTTTCACTCATTAATATATTACAGGCAGGCTAATGGAACTAAGGTCCTTTGTAGAGATGTTCGGATTAACGAGTTCCGACTTTTGTCTCACTCTCGGTTACCATTTTTTCAGATAACTGGAGTAGAATACATATATTAAAATTTAAATTAGCTCATTCCAGTTGTACCTTTTACTACGGTTGTACTTTTTTGTACCCCGTCTCAGACCCCACCCCCGTGGTGCTGCTTCCGAAAATTTCCCCGTGGCCCCCCGTCTGGAAACAACCCTACTTTCTACATGTTGATCTTCATAATCCCATAAATATTTAAATTCATAAATAAATTCCTTACCTCAACTGAACTTGTTCTTAATTTAACAATATCAATAAAGTCCGCAATATCAAAGGGAGAACGTGATGGAATAAATATTCCTCCAAAATTTCTGTCTATATGATCACTTAAAAGTAAAATACCCATCAGTGATCGAATTAAAAATTCTTTATGATAATCTGTATTTGAATAATCTTCCTGTTGTTGGTTATTACATAAACGTTGGAGCATTTTCTTTACAACCTTTATTGGAGAAAATAATGGATTTCAATTAATTTTTAGTCCTCAGTTTACTGATTGAGAGGTATTAAATGTCTTTAATTTTAGTTAATTCTAGAGGTCTGTATCTATTTAAATACACTAATCACCTGATATCTATTCAAATCCCGTAATCCCTATAAGTCAGTTCACCCCTTTTTGATTAAGGGAGGCTTTTCGGCCTTCCCTTAATCAAAATGCAATGATGCCCTACTTAATACTCCTATATCTCTTCAGTCCTCCATTAATCCGTTCAACGCCATCGATATCCCTCCAATATCCTCAATATACTTAGGTTGAGACCAAGTGATCTGCCAAATTTAATTATCTAATCGCTACACTAATTAAAATGAATTTTTGACAATGCTTAATTATATATTACATTATAAATGACAATAAGAGCTTCAGCTAAATGTGATGTAGCCAATTCCCTGCTTCTTTGTCTTCCAATAAAATGTCCAGCACTATTAACTATCGCTGTAAATAAAGGTGAAGGTCTTGAAAGAAAAAGAACAATTTGATCACTTAAAGGAGCATTCAAAGTATAAATATTGCCTAAATTCTTTAATAAACACATCCTTCTAAAACATAATTTTATTCATAATTCAATTAATTAATTACCTAAATAAACTAAAAGCATTTTGTAATATTGGGGTTGTTATTTTAAGTGAATCAAAACGAATTGTGGCATTCAATAGTTTAGTGAAATTTTTAGAAAGTAATTGTTCTGAAGATTCTACTTCGTCTACTTGAGGACAATCACTGCAAATTTCTTCAAAAAATGATGGAATTATCTTAAATAAATTTTTTTATAGAAAAGAGTAAAAGAAATCCTTAAGTTACGAATAGAATTCAAAAACTCTTAGAAATTCTCGAATCCTTTCTTGGTATCTATTTAGCTATAAATTATTAAAAATGAGTATCACTTAAAAAATTAATTATCAGCGAGGAGACATTTTATTGAGGACGTGGGTTGCAGGGAACGGAGAAAGGGCGTCTTGGGAGAGACCTGCCTCCGTTCTCAAGGGATTCCCCTCCCAGAGGTTTATTAAAGCATTCGTTATACAAATATTTTTTTCATATTAAAATGACTAAATGAATCCAATTATAACACAAAAGTAAAAAAGAATATAATTAATTAATTATAGAACCTAGATTATGAATATTATTTGAGAATATTTTATTTAATTAATCTAGGGAATGGGATTGTAGTTAACTATGAAATATAAAACGGGGCTCCGAGGGGTGATCTCCGCCTTTTTCAGGATATTACTTCCCTAAGGACGAGGGTTTTTTATCTATTAAACCGATGTAAGGATGATTCACCTAGAGCATTTAAAACGCTTAGGCGAGGGTTACACGATCTAAAAGGCTTAGTCGATGCCCCGGTAGCTCAGTGGTAGAGCCCTTGTATGTGGTGAGCGAAATCCACTAGCAATAACTGTCAGGAGGCCGCAGTACTCCTGCCCGGTGGCTAAACTATTGCTAAACTCTCTGACTTATTAAAGATTTCGTTATATCAAATATTTTTCTCATATGACTAAAATAAACATTCAATAATTGACATATTTTCCTAACAAAAAAAATATTTTTTTCTCAAATTTTTAATATCTACCTTTTCAATCTTCTTTGCCAATTCAAATAATTCTTTAACTTGAAGAACAAATTGTTTAACCAAAACATTTTCCTCCCCAATATTTTCAATACTTTCATTAATTTCTTTAAATAAATTACTTTGTGTATTTAATTGTTCTAATCTAATTATAGCCAATTCTGTATTATTAATTAATTGTTTAATTTCCCAACAAAGCTGTTTTCCACTTATTGGAATATAATTTGTATTTTCACTTAAGGGAGGGAATAACCCAATTGCTGGACATTTTGGGGGTTCTGATTTAGTTGATATTACCCTTTTAATTTTTGTTGTTGTTGTATTGTTAAAAATATATTTAGAAATTTTGTCATTACTTAATTTTATAAAATTTGTACAAAAACTGAAGGAACAACCAACAAAGGGTTTGGTATTATTTTTGTTTTTAGTTATTTGTTGGTGGTGGATTTGCATTTTATTTTGATCTTAAAAATAAAATTAAATATTGATTTGATAGAAAAATTAAGGAAAAATATAGCCACATTTTACTTTAAATTTAAAAATTATTTTGGGTGTTATCAAATAAATTTTTGTGTGTCAATAAAATTAGAGGAATGTAAAAAATTTTTAAAAAAAATTTAAAAAGTTATCTATAAAAGAAAATTTGTTTTATTTGATAACAACGCTAAAATGTGTTTATGTAACAATAAAATAAATAAAATAAAAATGAATCTTTAACCTTAAATTATTAAAAAAAATTTTTAAATATTAAAGTAAAATTTGTATAAGGGATATATGCGTTTCTTTAAATTAGAATTATTCTGTATGGTAAGGAGGGAAACGGGGCGTGAGTACAAGAATTTTTTTGACTTTGTGGTAATATTTTGAATAAAAAATCTCCGGATTGTCATCCATAAATAAAATTTTACTGCTTTATTTTTTATAAAAAAATTATTTAAAAATTTAAAAATAATTAAAAACAAAAAATGATTTTACAAAAAATTCTTCTCTCAGTTTAGAACGAATTAAATATGTTGTATGTATATTGAAAATCTTTTAAATTTAAATATGTAAGATCAATAAAAATTATCGAAAAATAATTTAAATAAAAATTAAATTAATAATTTTAACAATTTATAAAAATAAATAAAAATAAATATATGTACACAATGGAAACTTTCAGGAAATAATTCAAAAAAAGAAAATCTAAAAGCCTTTTATTAGTGATGTTTATTTCTATTTAGGTCAGCACTCACTCACAAAATAGACAATAAAAACAGATTTTTTTGTAAAATCGCCAAATTGTGCAAACAATTTTGGAGTAAAAATTGATTTGGAGAATTGAATATATGTATTTTAATTTTTATTTTTAAATCACAATACAAATTCATTAATTTAGAAATTTTTTCTTTGTTTTACAAAGCTAGATTGTAAATTAAGTTAAGTGTATTGGAAGGGAAAGGTGTGATTAATTAAAAAAACTTTTTAAAATAAATATTCTTAATTTAATTATATTATAATGAGAATTATTTTTAAATTAATTAATTTTTCAAATTACTTAAAATTTTTATGTTACAACATTTGGCAGTCGGAAAGGGTGATAGTTTTTCATGAACAACTTAGATAGTCATTATGACTATCTAAGTTGTTTTATGAAGTTCCTAACTTTACAAAATTTACTTAACCATTTATTGGGTATGGATAAGAAGAGATAAACATAATAATCTTAATCAGCAATTCTTATTACCTCATATGTGACATTTATAATAATTTAATTGGGCTGACAAAGCAGAAAAGTACTTAAAAGTAGAGTTGGCCGGGATCGGGATCCCGGTCGGGATCGGGCGGGATTATCCCGGGTTTTTCAAATCCCGATCCCGATTTTTCTGATCCCGGTCCCGAAATAAATATCCCGATCCCGATCCCGACCAATTTCAATCCCGAGCCGGGATCCGGGATCGGGATCGGGATGTGCATCAGATCCCGATGCAAATCCCGACTTTATAAATTGACTAGAAGTCTGTGAATTAAAGTTAACAGAAGATTGGAGGCGTGAAAGTGAGAAAAATTTTCGCCTGCGGCGCAGAAAATGGAAGAAATTTGGCATCTTGACATCCAAAATTCTCAAAATTTTCGCCTGCGGCGCAGAAAAGGAGCAAATTTAAACAAAGCTGTCTATAAAACTTCGACGAAATATTGAGTGATTTGGTGTGATATCGAGTGATCAAAAGGGGTTGAGGGGAGTATAGGTGGATTTGGAGCATAGAAGGATATCGGTGGATTTACAGTGATTAAATTAGATTTGAAGAGAACCGAGGGTTTACGAGGGACATGAATATATCGCTTAATCACTCAATTTCAGTTGAACGTAACGCTGAACGTTGAACGTAACATTTGAACGTAACGCATTTAATCATGTAGACTTGAACGTTTAGACTTACATGCCCTTGGCCTTCCAAGATTAAAAATTATTGCCTGCGGCGCTTAAAAGGGAGTAAATCTGGCACCTTGGCCTTCAAAATTTTTCAAAATTTGGAAGGCCAAGGTGCCAAACTTTTCAAAAGGTGCAAATTTTTTGAAAATCAAAAGCCCAATCCCATTTATCCCCCCCCCCATACCTTATCCCCTCTTAATCCCCTAAACCGGAAAGTAAATCATGCGTCTATGAGACTTTAACTCAATATTTCAGCACCACAGTGGAAATTTTAGAATTATATTAAGTCGTTTGTGAAGAAAATAAAAATTTAAAAGTTTTTTAAAAAAATTTTTAGTAAATCCCGATCCCGATTTTTTAATCCCGGTCCCGATTCGGGATCGGGACCGGGATCGGGATCTCCAGTCCAAATCCCGATCCCGATTTCGGCCAATCCCGATCCCGTGTCGGGATCCGGGATCGGGATCGGGATCACCAACCCAAAATCCCGATCCCGGGTTTTTCTCTAAATCCCGATACCGGCCAACTCTACTTAAAAGTCTTGCAGAAATTTATTTAAAATTTATAAAAATTGGTGTAATTTTTATTTTAATACATTAATTTAATTAAACGAGTTAAAAGTGTAAATTGTAAATTAAGTTGAGTGTATTAGAAGAGAAAGGTGTGACTAATTTACAAAAAAAATTTTTAAACGAGAAGCTTTTTTATTATTTGGCGAAGCAAATTTTGATAGTAATGCTCAGTAAGTGTAAAAAAGTTTTGAAAATACCTAATTTAATTATTATTATTATGATAATTATTGTTCTTTGATGAGGTAATTAAATTTTAATCAAATTTTTATGAAAATTAGGTTAATTTTTATCGTTTTTCACATCAGAAAAGAATTTATACACAATAAGTGTGTGTTTTTGATAGTAAAGAAAATTGAAAAAATAAATAAAATTGAAATTAAATTATTTAAGTATTAAAATTAAAATTGACATAACAGTTTAACAAAAGAAATTTTATTTAAAAATTATTCATTGTTTAATATGTAGTCATCAAATAAAAAAATTTAAATAAATTTTATCAAAAAGAAAGAAAAAGCATTAAAATATTAATTTTAAAATTTAATTTTAAAATTTAAAAATAAAAATAATATTTTTAATGAATCACTTTTGAACAAAGGAAAAATAAACTCTTTCACATATGGTTTTTAAAAAGTTGTTTCAAAAAAGTTGAATCACATTAGTATTTTTGAGATTTTATATAAATTTTATTTTCAGCAAATAATTGTCATTAATCATGAATTTAAAAAATAATTTTTAAATTTTTATTACAAAATTTTTGTTAAAGTGAATTGAAAAAATGAATTGAAAAGAAAAATTTCTTTTTCAAATAAAAAGTAAGTTGAAATTAGAAGTTTATTTAATAAGCTTATTTAGCTTCAGACAAAGTCCGACTTCGATATTTTAAGAGCAAACCCAATCATTTCTCCGAAGACCTCGATAAAGTAGAAACCAGTGAGGAACCGAGGATTTAAGTCATTAATCAACATGTGGTATCGTTAATAATATTTATCAAATCTCCATTTATTAAATATTCTTCAATTATTATTTTAGTTTTTTATTTCAACATTAAATAAGACCTTAAACACAAAGATCCGGTTCTGCAATTTTTCCAGAACACCTTAATTTTTTTCGATGATATACTAATATTTTAATCAATATTAGGATCTAAGAATTTAATAAAAAAAAATTTTTAACTTTCTTAACAACTTTAAATTAAATTAAATATTATACATATCGACAAGTCAAAATTCCAGCTCATAAAATTTAAAATAATTTCCCTTTTCTAATGATTTTACACGTTTTACTTTTTGTTAAAGCTTTCCTGTCACGTTTTTAATTTTTTATTTCAAGAAGGAAGAAAGTTTTAGATTATTTTATTTAATAAAGAGTAAAAATTAACTCGAGAATTTTTAAAATATATTTAATTAGCTTTTTTAAAATATTAAATTCTCTCAAACTATAATAATTATTTAACTTATACTTTGATATTTCCTTTAGTTCGAGAGGTTTTTTAAAGTCTTTATAAGGCTTTTAAATTCGGTGGATAAGCACCAAAAATTAAATTTTTTTATTAAAATGTACTCAAAATTCTTAAATTTAATTTTATTTATTTCAATTTCCATTTGGTTTGTTATAGCCGATCAGGACGACAATAAAGATAAAGATGGTAGAGATATTTTAAATATAATTTCCAAAAATCTTTTATTTAATTTCCAGCTGCTTTCGAAAAGGTTATAATTTTGGTTGATAATGTTTTGGATTTCTCTCGTCCTGTAGCTCTTTTTGAATTTGCAAATAATCACCCAATAGATCATCCTGACAAAGAAGCCGCTTTTCTAGAAAAAGTTAATGAAAAAGCCATTGAAATCAAATTGGATACAGAATTTGCACGTCTTTTTTTCGCAGATCAAATTAATGCAAGCAAAGTTGTTCAGGTTTTAAGTTTATTATAAGTCTTAAAAAATGGAGAATCAAAGTTGCTATATTCATATAGCATTAGTACTATAGAAAATAGTGTGATGCTATTAAAATATTAGTCCAAATAAACTTCCTCCAAGCCTAGCAAATAAATAAATGATCAGTCGGTGTGGGATGATTCAGCGGTTAAAATCCTTTCATTGGAAAGCTCTCAGGATCAAGTTCAATGCAATACTACGTGAAATATGTCCAAAAATATTTTTTAAACCCTTAATTAAAATTTAATTAAGTCTGCTTATTTTGCCTTATGGAATCGAACAGGACTGCCAAATGAAACAGTTGTTGATATTCACACAACAGAATTTCAATCAAAAATGGGAAAGGTTACAATGGATTTGGAAACAGCATTACTTCCTATAGTTAAATATCGGGATGAATTCAAATGCCAGAAAGAAACCAGAAAAATAGTTAAGGAATTAGCTAAGAAGAAGCAAATTGATATTTCTCCTGAATTTAATCGCGACAAGGCTTTTGGATTTGCTTTGCGCCATTTGTGTTCTAACAAAATAACATATCATTAAGTTTTGAAGCAGACGATGAATGAAAATATTTTGGTAAAATAAAATTCTATATTTAATTTTGTATATTCAAAAATGAAAAAAGTGTTAAATTGATAATTATGTAAATTTTAATGTAATAAAATATTTTGATTGGTTTTTATAATTTTAATTGACACTTTTTCCGAAGTTTTATATACATACATATTTTGACCAGAATTCTTCTATTGAAGCAAAAGTTTAGCTACCGGGCAGAATCGAATCACCGACCTCCTGACAGTATTGCTACCACATACAGCAGATTTACCACTGGGGCATCGACTAATGATTTCTCTTTTATCCTTTTAGATCGTTTATCACTCGCCTAAGCGTTTTAAATGCTCTAGGTAAATTATCCATACAAATTATATTTCAAACTAAATAATACTCTGATAAACCATTTAAATCATTTATCAAAAATATTCCAAATTAAACTAAAAAATTATTGTGGAAATATTTTTAGACTTTTAAAAATTGAAATTCGATATGGCTTGTTTGTTAATATACAAACTATCGAGTTAAATATAGGGGTAAAATGAAGCCAGTGAAAAATAATTAATCGAATAATGTTTGTCATATTGTTGTTTGTTTGAATAAATATTAAAAGTGTTAATGTTGTTGTGTGTTTTACGAATGGAACAACAGCCTGAATATTATTAAAACATGGTTTATAGAATCAGAATTAATTTAAAACAAAATCAGAATTAATTTAAAACAAAATCAGAATTAATTTAAAACAAAATCAGAATTAATTTAAAACAAAATCAGAATTAATTTAAAACAAAATCAGAATTAATTTAAAACAAAATCAGAATTAATTTAAAACAAAATCAGAAGTAATTTAAAACAAAATCAGAATTAATTTAAAACAAAATCAGAATTAATTTAAAACAAAATCAGAATTAATTTAAAACAAAATCAGAATTAATTTAAAACAAAATCAGAATTAATTTAAAACAAAATCAGAATTAATTTAAAACAAAATCAGAATTAATTTAAAACAAAATCAGAATTATAACTCGAACATTCATTCTTCAGAATTAGTTTAAAACATACCAGAATTATTAATGTTTTTGTCAATTGTTTAACCAATATTTTCATGTTTTCATCAAATCCAGTATGTAAATTAACGTATTTAACCATTTTAATTGCACAAATAATTATTACAAAATATGGAATAATTTCAATCAAAGATAGTGAGAGAAGTGCCAAAATATTTATCTTTTTATTTAAATAAAATTAAAAAAATTATTTAAAATTACATTATCCATTTCACTTCGAATAAATGGATATATTTCATTAAAATTATCATTCTCAATTTGTTGAACACCTCCACCGGAATATTGTACAACATAGAAAATAATAGTTAATATATAAATTACATTTATTATTAAAGCAATCGAAAACATATAAAAATAACGACGAAAGCCAATTTTCATGTTTCTTTTAAAATAAATGTTTATTATTAGAGCTAGGATTTTTAGGCACGATAAAGTTAAAAATAGGCGCTATATAGGCACTAAAAACTGCCAAAATAGGCACTTAAATCCGAAAAAATATCCGAAAATTTTCTAAAAAAATGCCCAAATACGCACAAATTTTAGTAAAAATATGCAAAATATTTGCTAGAAAAAGTTAAAATAGGCAATTATAGGCAACGATAAAAATAGTTTTAAAGCAGATTTCATGCAAATAACGCCTGATTTGGATGTTTCAGCATCAGGCCTATTTAGGAAAGAAACAGGCATTCGCCTATAAATCCTAGCTCTATTTATTATATTTTATTTATTCGAAAAACTTTTTATGTTTTTACCTATTTAAAATTAAATATCTATATATAAATTGAACACATAATCCGTTTGTATTTAAATTGTAGATAAATATGTAAACAATAAACATGTAATAGAATAATAATGGATTAAATGATTTGTTCATAATATTAATTAAAATCCCGTCAGTGATAATAAAAATTGTGTTTCCATTCTTTTCGATTGTATAAAACTAAAAAGGTTTTTAAGTTTGTTTTTATTAAATTTTGGTTTTTATTATTTATGTGTCTTTAATCCTAATCTAGTCTCAAATCTAATCTCTAATCTAACCCTAATCTCTAATCTAATTCTAAATCCTAATCTAATCCTAATTCTGCCTCAATAATATTTCCTTTACTGAAAGTTGTTATTCTGCTTTAAACTACATACATACCGTATATACTCTATTAATTACCCTGGGTAATTATTGTTTCGACCTCTCTCTGGAGAGGGTAATTAATAGAGGCGGGGTAATTAATAGAGGTTATTTTAGGAAGGCTAATTATAACTATTTTTAAGGGGGTAATTATTGTTTCAACCTTTCGCTGGAGGGGGTAACTAATATATATAATTCTGATTTAATTTAATTCTGGTTTTTATAAACATTTCTTCCGGAATGTTATATAGTTTCTATTTCCTTCCGGGAATTTTACTCTTGACTTTAATTCCTGAAACTTTTAATTCTATGTTCAAATTTAATTCTGGTTTGTTTTTAAATTTTACCAATTGTACAAACATTTGAACAGTCAATATCAAAATATCCAAAACACAATTTTGTATCAGAATTCTGCTGTGTGTTTTCATCTCGTTTGGTGTTTTAAAAATAATTAAAATAATCAGAATAATGTTTAGGGGATAGCCAATTACTAAACTTCCCCAATAATCAAATTTAAATAGAATATCAACTAAATTAGACATTTTATTATATATAAAATGTAAAAATTTTTTTGAAAGAAAATTTTTTAAATATTTATTAAAGAAAACTCGTTAAATTCACCTGGCATTTATTTAAAGTAATCTAAAAGACAAACAATAAACATTTTTCTATATAATTATTATATGTATAAATAATTAATATGTTTTTTTCATTTTGATTAAATTTCGACTGCCAATTAAGTGAGAAAATGTCAACTTAAATGTTAAAAATTTGTTTCAAAAAATGACGTTTTAGAGAAGTTCAACTGTAGTTTTAAATAGGGCAGCAATAGGACTTTCGTGTCGAGGTTTAGGGGTCGTCGGGGTCGGGTCAGAGTTTAGGGAGTCGTATTTCTACACTAATTTTAAAACTTAGAAAATTAATTTTTCTTTCAAACTACTGTTCTTTTATTATCTTCTCAACTTTTTACATTTGTAATTTATTGTCTCTTTGATATGATACACCCTAAGTATTACATAAAAAATATTATCAATGTGTTTACAAATATATTTTTCAATTTTATTGATGATAATATGAAATCTTTTCCTAAATTTAACAATATCCTCTATAATCTAATCTATCACTAATCCTAAATAAAGATCCTTTTTCCACAAAACTTTCATTTTTTGCATTTAATATATGTTATAGTTGCACCACCTAAATGTCCTTTTCCCAAATCAGCAAGCTTTTTAAACGCTGGTTCTGATAGATCAATGTGCGTTGAATTACAACCCGGGCATTTGTCCATGACGGGCACGGTAATACTATTAAAATGAAATTTAGATGAGAATTAAGGTTAGGAATGAAAGATAGCGGAACCCTTAGATAGAATGTAGCAGTGATCGCGCCGACCCGATTCACGATTCCCGAAAATAGGGAATTTGATTTTCTGTCGGCGCGTTCCTGGTATGTATTTAGTTTTTAAAAAAATATTAAAAAATATTCCAAGAAATATCTTTACCTTTTGCCTTTATAATCCACTTTTACACAAATATTATTACATAACGGATCAGCATTTGGATTGACTGTTGTCCATTGACTTTTGCTAATAGCCACTAACATCTGTTTTGTTGGATCTATTTGTTTGCCACAAGCACCAATCCCAACATTGTTATAATAGGTGAATGTTCCCTTAAAAGATTGGTTTATCTTCCAGCCATCGATGAAACTTGAGGAAACCAAAACAGCTAAAAGAATAAAACAAATGGACATTTTGGACATTTTTTAAATAATTTTTTTGGAGTGAAGGAGATTGTTGTTGGAATATTAATTTTGACGGGTTTTATATATGCCATTCTGTAAGGAAGGGTGGAGGATAAAAACAAGAAATTTTATTAAAATTTAAATAAAAATATTTGTTTTAATGTTGTCTAACTCCATATTTTAATTTTAAAAAATATTTAAAGTGCAAGTTTGAAAAATAAAAATATTTTTTTAAATTTTATTTACTCAATTTAATATTAATAAAAAAATAGTAGACTATATGAGGGACTTAATTAAATTTTAATTTATCGTCTAAGCTTCGAGACTTTCTAGAAAGAATATAACCGAATAAATAACCTCGCCACCTGTATAATTTTATTCAAATTTTAAAAAAATAACAAAATTTCCAGACAGTTTATTCAGCTGTCTAAAATTATAAAAATGTTTTGCTTTTATGTATTATTATTATAAGTGCATAAATAACATCAAAGTTTATTCAGCTAGCTAACACATATGAAAAAATGTTTTGATTTTATTATTATTATAAGTACATAAATAAATAATTTAAGGGAAGTTTTTTAAAATGCTCCCTGTCAACTTGACAAAACTGAAAATACAGTAGCTAAAAATTGTGAAAATTTCTATGGCAAATTTGTATTTAAAATTCCCTTTTCCGTTTACAAAATTATTTTTATTTTTAAATTGCACTTTATCAAAGTGCAATTTATAATTTTCTCATTGAATAAATAAATAAAAATTTAAAAATAAAAAAATATTAATTATTTTACCGACATTTACATACATAATCAATTATGAAATATTTTTAAAGGTAGTCTCTTTCCGGCCTTAATAAAACCCGACTCCTACCTTAAATTATTTTTTAAAAATTAAAGAAAAATAAAATCAACATAAAATGCAATTTTTAATATTTGTATTAATATTATTTTCAATAATTTTAAAAGAAATAAATTGCGGAAATTTTATTTCAAGTAAACTTAATTAATTTTTTAATAGTATTTTTTAATAAAAAGGAAATTGGATTTCTGACACGGTCTGACCCTTCCAAAAAATAACAAGAGATAGGATATGGCTTGATCCAGAAAGCATACACGACCACCGACTAACTGTTCTTATTAATGTCTAATTTCCTAGACTTGGAGGAAGCTTTTTCGACCTTACAAGAATTTAACTTTCTAGATTTAACTATTAACTGATAAAACGGGCAACTGATAATATTATAAAAATAAATTAATAAATAATTTAATAGGGATTGCTTGCAATTTCACAGAAAAAAGTTTTTTTAAACATGATGCAGACGTCTATCTCTTACCTAAAGTTCTTTTATGTATTTATTTGGATTTATTAGATGAAGGAGAAAATACAAGGGGAATTATTACAGGGAAGAAGTCAAATGAATCTGATGCTATAATTATTCAAATTATTTTTGTTTCGCAATTTTATTTGATTCTTACATCGTTGGATAATAAAAGAGAATTGGATAATTTAATTAGGTAATTAAATACAGCCGTCGGACCCAACTTATACTTACAACGTTGAAATTGAAAAGATTTACTGAGGACTTAGTGGCTAACCAGATTTTAAAAACTACACAAAATGGTTATGTATGTATCATAGGTTGGTCGGAATTCCGATTTCCGACGTTGAGCCAGCCAGTTTCGATTTCCGGTTTCCGATTTCCGACACCTCTGACTGTTCCGACCACCTTTGGTGTGTATGTACTAGTGATGCTCGGGAGAAGAAAAAACCCGGGAATCGGGAAACGGGAGTTGGGTCGGGAAATGACCTCGGGAGTCGGGATCGGGAGTCGGGAATTAGCAATAAAAAATTTTCAAAAATTCCAAAAATTTTCTGGCACCTTCGGCGCCAAAAATTTCGATTTTTTGCACCACGGGTAAAAATATTAAAAATTTTGGAAGGTAAAGAAGCCAGACATTTTCCTTACTAGCGCCGCAGGCGAAAATTTTGAGAATTTTTAGGTCAAGAAGTCAGATTTCTTCCATTTTTTGCGCCGCAGCCAAAAATTTTGACTCTCATTGGAGTGAAATAGAAAGGGGTCTTGAACGATCTTTAAGAGTAACTTAATAATTTATTTCCCCGATTATTTGGAAAGATAAGACAACAGCCTGCCCAAAAAACCTAGTAACCGCAGAGATAATCAGTGTTGGGTATTGCTGGGGGCTTTTTCTTTGAGCCAGAGCCCAGCTTTGATTTATAGTTGTTGTCATTGACCTTAAGTCCTTAGAATCTCTCCATTGGAGTGAAATAGGGGAAAAGAGAGTGAAACAGAGAAAAATATTTTTACGTTCAATTCTGTGGAATTTTAGTGAACTAGCCACATATCTCTTCATATCCCCTCTATAGTACATCATTAACACCCCTTTGCAATATTAACCATCCATTGATATCTCTCTTTATTACTGCAAATCCCTCGTTATCTCTTCAAATTCACCATAATCCTAGTAAATCACCGAAATCTTCTATACTACACCTCCACATATTCTTCAATTTTCAGCGCCGCAGGCGAAAATTTTGGGAATTTTGGAAGACCAAGAGGCCAGATTTCTTCATTTTTTATAAATGAAAATATAATTTTGTCAGAAAAATCCATTCTTAGGGGTGTAAAAATTTCCCGACTTAGTCGGGAATTGACACCGGGAGTCGGGATCGGGAGGCCAAAAACTCGGGAAATTTTCCCGAGTCGGGATCGGGATACCCGAGCATCACTAGTATGTACCTTAGTGTGGGTTTACATATTAACATAAGTGGGTCAGATCTGACTGTACATATTTAATTATTCAAATTTCAATTTTTAGTATTGACGACCGGATATATCACTACAGATATTCTCCAGCAAAAGGAGTGTTTTATATCCTGCTTAAACGTTATAATTTAGTTAAACATTTAAAAGGGAATAATGAAGAAGAAATAAATTTAATTAATTTAAAAAATAATGATAAAGAAAGAAAAAAGAATAAAGAAATAAATATCCACATTGATGAATTTATTTCTAATCTGGCTAATTTATATAATATAACTGTAACTTTGGAAGAGATTCAAGAAGCAAATTTTCTTGTTTTTTATAATCATTTATTGTTTAGAGAAGATGCTTTTTTGAAGAAATTGAGGTAATTTTGGTTAGATTTAAAAATATAAGTCATTTAAACATATAATTCATTGAATTTATGTCACATTTCTGCTTCATGTATAATTTATGCTCGTTTGTTTCAGTCTTGAAATTATCCCAAATTCGGCTTCCATTCTTCATTATTAAAAATTTTTAAATTAATAAATCAAGTTTCATTTCAGAATATTGAAAACTCAAAAGAATTATGCGCAACTCAAACATTTCCAAAAAAATTTAACACAACTTTTTGGGCGTGCACGAATGGAATTATTAATTGAAATACATTCTGATTGTTTTTATAGAGTAATAAATTAATTAATTAAATAATTAATTTTTATTTTTTAAGGAAAATAAAAGAGAAAATATTTATTTAGATTTATTTAACGAATATTTTAATAACAATATAAATATTATAGAAAAATGGAGATTAAAAAATACTTTAAATTATTTTATTTATTTTGATTGGATGGAGAAACGTGAGACAATTGGAGGTAAAAAGTGAAAAAAATTTTACTATCGACCAAGTTCTCGGGCATAAGTCGGTCCTTACTCATCTCTTAGGCAGGGAAATTCGCTATTAGAGTGAGAGTGACATGCAAGTGTGGTGACACTAAAGCGGGGTCCGATAGCGAGTCTTCTCAAAAAAATCAAGAAATTGTGTGAGTTGATAGAATACTTATTGCTGAAAAGGAATAAAATATTCACAGATCTTTATAAATAATTTTTGGATTTTTAGGGGCAAGATGGGGTTTTAAATCATTGTTCTCTAGTATATCTAAAGTATATTTGTTTGGTGAATATTATTTACAAAATTTTATTGCAAATCAAAAAAGAGGGAAAATGGCAAAAAATATCAAAGTAAATAAAGTGATTAAATTACTATTATTTATCTATTACTATAATTCAACTAAAAAAGGCACCTATTTTTAAATAGGTGTCTATTACTGTAACTGTAAATAATTTTTTCGCGTAAAGAATTAAGTTCTGTTAGAAAATTTTGAAAATTGATTCTTGACTAACTCCCCAAGTGTAGGGGGTTTTTGTAAATGATTGAAAAATTTTTGTCTCTTTAGCTAATATACATACTTTCGTGAGCTCCCAGTTTAGGTTCTGTTGACGGAGGCCGATTACCTCACAATTAGAGTTCCTAATTGTAAAAAAAAAAGTTCCTAATTGTGAAATGAAAAAGGGAGAGAGAGCAGCCAACCAAATAATTTGGATTGAAGTTTCAAAAATGATTGAAAAATTTTTCTGTTTAGGAAATCTATTTATTTACCGAAGATTATGCCCGTTCAAATTTGTTTACAGCAATATATCTCGAAACAGCAAAAGAATGTTGTGAATATATAGATAAATTTATTCATTCAAAACGTTTATATGAAAAGAAAGAAATTAAAAAAGAATTTTTAGCTAAAATGAGCGATGTTTGGGAGAATTGTGTATATCTAAAAAATGGACAAGATTATCATATTGAAGAAAATTTGAAAGGACAGAGAGAAATTTGGATAGAAAAAATTACAGAGATTTTTAAAGAAAGTGACGGAAAAAATAGAAATAATATAAGAAATCTATTGGCAACACATCGTTAGTTATATACAATTGGATCTCACTTATGCATAGATACATCCTTGGGGCTGAAAAGTTGTAGTATCTTATAATGAGTTATACCTTAGAGTTGTGATATATGTAGATCAGGAGCTCTCCATCCAATACTCGTCAAACAGAATAAAAGTGTATCTTGATTTAGGATTTTAGAATCATGGTATGTTAGAACGAGGTCGAGCACTAAGAAAGATTAGAATGATTTCACTATGGATTTGGAAATAAGAAAGCACTCAGAGTTATAATAATTATAATTTTAGCTATTCAAGTAAAAGAATTGTTCAGTTTAACCCCTAAAGAATTATTTGAAAGAATTGATGAATTGAGAGGTAACAAAAGTAAAAATAAAGAGAGAATGAGGGATGAAATTTTTGAAGAACTTGATGTGGAAGGAACAGAATTCGATCAAGAGAGTATTAAGAAGAAAAAGATTGAGGAAGAAAAAGGAAGGAGAGGAAAAGAAAAAATTGAAAGTAAAGATGTAAGTGTTTTAGAAGAAGAAGAAGGAGAAGGAAGTGCTAGTAAGATTGTGGAGTTGAAGGAAGGAAGAGCTCTGGAAGGAAAGGAGGGAAAGGAAGAAGGAATAGAAATGATTGTAGAGAAGAAAAGATTTTTAAGAGAGAAAAACGAAATTTCAGAGGAGATCGAGAAAGGAAGATTTATGGAAGAGGAAAAGGTTGAAGGTAGTAACTTCGAAGGTAAGATAGGACAAGTTATGGATGTGCTAGGGAAGAGAGGATTTATAGGAGAAAAGGATAAAGGAGGAAGGTTGGAGGAAGGAAAAGTTTTAACGAAAGAGGAAGAATCTTTCAAGGTGGAAGATAAAGAAGTGGTTGTAGGAGGTGTAGAAAGCAAAATAAAAGTTGAAGGAAAAGGAAGAAATATGAAAAATAAAGAAGGTGTAATGAAAGAGAAAGGAAGAGTAATGGAGAAGGAGGAGGGAAGAATTGAAGAAGAAGAAAAGGGAGGAGTGAAAAAGGAAAAGAACGAAAGAGTGAAAGAGGAAGAGGAAGAAAAAGCGAATGGGGGTATCAAGAAAGATGAAGAAGAGAGAAAAATGAAAGCAAAAGGAAGAGTGATTGAAGATAAATTAGGTCGACTACAAACTGAAGGTAATGGAATTTTTAATAAATTTGAGGAAGAAGATAATTTATGTATTTAATTTCAAATTCTAGACTAGTATTATTGGACACACCCGCCGGTTATTAACTGATACCTCCGGTTTTTTGTTATACCCAGGATTTCGGTCCCGGTTTTTGACTTAATTTTTCACAAAGTTTAGTTTTTCGAACATCAAGACGCTGAAGGCGCCAAAAATTTCGATATCTAAGAGAATTTTGGAAGGCCAAAGAATTTTGGAAGGCCGAACCTTTCTAGCCCTCCAGTGCGGAATTATACAGGGAGAGGGGCTCTAGTCCTGAGACGATATCCCGTTACGGGATGGATTCCTCGCGTTCGATCTTTCTAAACACCATCTCGTTATTAAGTTTGACCCTTTTCTAAACTTTATTAATTTAAAAAATTAAAGGGGCGACATTACAAAATAGAAAAATTATACATTCTCGTACACTATTAAAATCATTATCTTCCAAAAATGATATCAAACTTGAAGAAAAAAAGGGTAAAACTAAGCACAAGATAAAGGAAGACAATACAAGTATTGAAGCAACATCATCACTCTCATCCAGTTCTGATCAGAATTTTAATTTTGATTTGTTTACCAACCCAAGTGTTTTATTAAATAGTAATTTTAATTAAATAATTTATTTAAATTAAAATTCCTAGCAATTTTTAATTCAAATGAAGCTTTTGAAGATAAAAATATATTAGATGTGATAATTGAGAATTTAGTCGTAAAATATTTTAATGAAAAAGAAAATAATATTATTAAATTAATTGATATTGTAATTTTAAGAAACAATATTTTGGAAGCATTAAAAATCGTTGAGGCTAAAAGTAGAAATGAAGCAAAACATGAAGAAAATGAAACAAACTTGAAAACTCTAACAGAAACAAGTTTTAACCAAACAACTTTTAATCAAACAAACAAGTTTTACAATAAAATGAGAGAAAGTTGGTCAAGTTTTACAAAACAAGTTTTAACAAACTTAACGACAGAAACAATTAATATTGATGTTTTGTTGAATAAAATGTTTAATGTTCATAGATTTTTATGTTTTGGAATGTTTTACAAACTTAATAATAAATTTGTAAAAAATTTTGAGAGAATTTTGTAAGTTTATTTAAAGTTTTGTATTTTTAAATTAGGTAATTTTGAAAGAAACATTGTTAGAGAAATGTTAAAATTTATCTATTAAAGTTTTAAAAATATTTTAGACAGCAACAAACAAGTTTAGAAAGGCCAAACAAACAAAATATTGCTAATAATGTTAAAAATGTTTTGTTAATAAAACAACTTCGTTTGAAAACAATTTCTATGTTTTTGGCTAAAAATGCATACAAAGTAGTTTCTCAAAACAAAAATTACTTAATATTCGAAAGGGGAAGATTTTTGAGATTTTTTGAAATCTTTGTGGATGAAAATGGAATTGTAAATTTAGAATTTTTTGAACAAATAGAAAATTTGGCTAAGGAAAGAATTGATGAAAATAATAATAAAATGTTGAATTTTGATGAAAATAAGGAAGAAATGTACTTGAAAAAATTTGTAAAAAAATTTTTAAATAAAATCGAAAGGCAAATGGATTCAATTAAGCAAGAAAAGCTAGGTAGATAATTACAAAAAAATGTTTTTTTGAATAAATTTTAAGTCCATAAAGTCTTTTAGAAGTGTGCATATTTTGAATTTTTTTCGGTGAATTTTTTCGGCGATTTCCCGTGCATATTTTGTGAGACCTCATTAATTCCATGGTTGGATCCATTGTTAAATTAAAACAATAAATAACCAGTATACCATAGTAGTATCTTACCGGGTTTTACTACAAAAATAACGTTTTAAAATCCGGTTTTACTACAAAAAAAGAAAATGATATCTTTTGTGTAGTTACCACCTTTAATCAATTGGTAAGGGATTAGTACTATTGTAATCAGTTGTTACTCAATTAACACACAATACACTTAAAAATTTTAAAAAATTTTATAATTAAAAAAATTTTAAAATTTTACTTAAATACCCCACTTAAAAAACAATTAAAAACCCACGTATAAACCACTTAAAAATTTTAAAAAATTTTATAATTAAAAAAATTTTAAAAATTTTACTTAAAAAAACCACTTAAAAACCACTCCCACTTAAAAAACCACTTAAAAACCACTTAAATAACCACTTAAAAATTTTTTAAAAATTTTTAAAAAATTCTATAAAAAACAACCACTTAAAAACCACGTAATCAAAACATTCGATTAAAGACTGGGGAGTTCCCATTAATGGAATGCATGCGCATGGGGGATTTTAGAGTATGTATTAAAAAAATAATTTTTATAAAAAAATTATTAATTTATTAATTAAAATAATTTATAAAAAATATTAAAATTTCATAAAAAATATTAATTTAATATTAATTGAATAATAATATTATTAATTTAGTAATGAAAAAATTTATTAAAAAATAGTAAGAATTTATAAAAATATAAATGTAATATTAATTTATTAATAAAAATAAATTGAATAAAAAATAATATAAAAAGTTTAAAAAATATTAAAAAATAATTTATTAAATAAAAATAAAAAAATAAAAATAAAATAAAAAATAAAATATAAAAATTTATTAAAACAAAAAATTTGTATTTAATAAAAAATAATATTTAAAAAATGTAAAATTAAAAAATATATAAATAAATAAAATAAATTATAGTAAAATAAGTTCGAAAAAAATAAATGAAAAAAAGAACAGAAAAATATCTGCTTAAATACCCCCAGGGCATTCGAAAAACCAGCTATTAAGGATAAAAATGGGGGGGGGGCACTAATGGATGTATGCGCATGATTTAATGGAGAAAAATTAATTAAAAGCCTTAAGTGGATCGAAAGAATGTGACTAATGGATTTTAAAATCAATTAAGTGGTTTGGCTTAAAGTTAATGGAAGGGAGGGAGGGTTAATGGGCGATCAAAGTACATTGAGTTCTCCAGTATAAAAACCGATCAGTTTTCAGTAGTCAGCATCAGTTTTAAAACATCGTCTCTTCGGACCAAATCTCCAAACTTCCTAAATATTTTGTCCTTAATAAATATTTATATTAAATACCAATAAACATTTTAAATCTAAATAAATTTTATAATAATTTAAATAATTTTAAGCGTTTTAAATCTATTTTTTCCATTTATTTATTTCAAAAGAAATATAAATAATTTTAAATTTAAATAATTTTATTCGTTTTAAATCTATTTTTCTATTTCTTTACTGCAAAAGAAGTGGATGAAAATGGCAGAAAAAATGACAGCCAAAATGCAAGGCAGGGAATAAAACATTTTATGATAATAACTCATAAATGCATTTATTTTCTGAAGGTGGTGATGAACACGAGGAAACCCGTCTCTACAGCGGAAACTGCTGTGACAAAGGTAAGTAAAGGCTCAATTATTTGAAGAAAAACAAGCCAGAAATTGATCTTTACTTAAGGTGATGAAATTGAAGAACTTAGTGCAATTGAGCTTGAAGAAATCCGTGGCTTCATACGAGAGCAAAAAAGGAAGAAGAACGCTGTAGAAGCACGCCGCAAACGTTCGTTAACTACGACGTCAAGCTCTGGGAAATCAGGAGTGTGTCATCCGCCTGTCCCAAAGAAAACAAAAGCACCTACTAAAAAGGTAAGATTATAAAAAAAGTTTATTAAAGATTTGCATTAGCAGGTTGGTGAAAAATGGACAAATCCCATATACAATGATGAAGAAGAAAAATCAGATGAACCCGATAAAGACGAAATAATTGAACTAGGAAAGGATGAGGAAGAGTATAAACTACTTCGACATGAGCAAGAAGATAAAAAACGTAAGATTTTAAACTCGAATTAATTGAATGTTCCAGGCTTTTACAAAACTTTGCCGCAGCAGTTGTTAGTTCAATCGGATATGCTTAGAAATCCCAGAAAAGGGATTTTCGTCCACCAATGTAATAATTGTAAAGAACAACAGATGCGTAGAGAAGAATATCTTTTCAAAGGAGGAGCAAGTGGAATATTTGTACTAACAATTGAGATGTGCGGTGATGATTTGGACAAAAATATAGCTCTTGCGGACTTCTATGGGCAAAACTGGGGTAAGCAAAGAAAATAAACTTTATTATTTCAATTTAAGGAGAGAGGGCGATCGAAAAAACAGAAGAATACTTGGAAGGCGACTCGCAAACAAAAAATTCTTTTGAAAAAGGTAATTAAAAATGATTACTAAAAAGAGTTCTTTAGTAGCAGGCGTTTTGTACTACACACTTGGGGAAAGCTGTCAAACCGATGGAGACAGAAAACTATTACGATACAAATATGCGTGGATAATACATCAGGTAAAATTACTAAAAGATTTTAACAATAAATACTTTTAGTGCAATAAATGCGAATCACTTCAGAAAAGTCAAGCGCGGGACTTGTTTCTTCAAAAGCTTGGCCTTGCGTTCGATAGAGGTGTTATGTATGCACTCAATTTCATAGTAAATAATATATCTTTTATTTAAATTATAATTTTAGTGTTGTTCTGCATGCCGTGTTATGAACCGAGATTTCCATGGAATGATAAATAAGAAGTTTAACAATTTTTCGAAATGATTCATTTCTGTGTTGATAAAACGTAAAAAATAATTAAGCTATAACTATTCTGTTTTATTCAAGTCATTATCTCTGAGATTTTGTGTTTAGTTTTTATAATCTTTTTTAGCAATTTTTTAAGAAATAATCAATACAGATGGCCCATAACATCAATAAATATTTTAGAGAGGATTCAATTGAACATATTCGAAGTAATCGCTTCAAGATTGGAGTATTCAGGTATTTTTGAAAAAGAAATTAAAAAAATTTATTTTTAGGGCATCTTTTACAGTAATCAATGCTGACGACGCGCCACAAGGGAGGGAAATGCTGCTAGAACAATTAATTGACCACTTTTACGTTCGTGCATATCGTGCTGCAGGAGCAAGATCTCAAAAGTGTTCAATTATTATTCGAAGCGCTGTGTTGGAGAGACCTATTCAAGTTCCGTATCGTGGACTTGCACAGAACACACCTCAGGTAGTTATGGAACAGTTCGACACCGTTGATCAAAGCGGCCAGCGTATGGGGAGACCTTCTATTTACAGCCAGCCGATTAACATCGAGGTACATTTTTGTAACATTTTTAAATTCAAATCTTAAAGATTGTTATGGGGCCATCGCATGAAGAGGCTCTCAAATTGTCGCGTATTGACCGAGAAGGAAGTGGAAGAAAAAGAAGAGAAATGGACCATGGAATCGATATCAACAATCTTATACCAGTAAGAAAAAATTTTAAAATAACAAAATTATTTTAGGTAAAAAATGAGGATTTACCACCTCCTTTTAATCGACATTGCTTGCTTCTAGCGGTTCAACTCACAATATTATATATTTCCAAACCAAACTCAAAAACAGGCAATGTTCAATTTATACGATTGACACAAGGGAGTGGTGAAAAGTCAAAACAAAAGCGAATATCATTGATAAAAGAAATGCTCTCTCAAATGAAACAACACAAAGTGCCATATCCAATGAATGAGAAAATATACAACGTCGACGAACATGTTCCTCTTGTACAGAAACTTTTGGATATTCTATACCCTGGACAATATAGAATAGCTATTTTTGGAGATAGAGGCAATGCAAAACCAATCTGGAAAGGAAAAAAACGTGCGCACAACGAGCTATGCCTCTTCTTGAAAGATGAGCATTTCAGTGGAATAAGAAAATTAAATACCTTATTCGGAACTGATTATTACTGTCTTGATTGCGAGACTACTTATGACAAGAAGAAAAACCACCGTGCAACATGCCTAGCAAAATGTCCCCGATGCTGCGGTATGGGTATTGATTATCCGTGTGAAGAAATCGAAGGATATATGAAACAGTGCCAAAAATGTAGCAACATTTTCAGAAACCCAAAATGTTTTCATGAACATATTATGAAGAACATTTGCAGACTTTATAAGAGGTAAATTTAAGCAAATAATATATATTAAAGTTATAGGTGTTTGGATTGCGGCCAAATATATCGATCAAACAAAAAGCAAGAATCAGATGATGAATCAGATGGGAACGAACATGTTTGCTATTCTCGTTTCTGTTCACATTGTCATTCGATTCATCGGACAGAGGAGCCGTGTTATGTCCAGCCAATCGTTCCCAAAAGACACAGGGATTATATACTGGTTACTTTTATTATTGTAGAAAAAAAATAATTTATTAAGGTTATTTTTGACTTTGAATGTTCTCTAATTTCTCCTACTCGAAATGAAGATGAATGGCAACGACTTGGAGTTATTGCGAAAGGTGGCATACCTTCAAACGACGAAAATTATCAATTGCATCACGTTAATTGTGTATCGGTAAGGAAGAAGAATTATTTAAGTATTATTTTTAGGCTATGCTTTTATGCTCGCGCTGTATCAGTGAAGAGAAAAAATGGAAAGACGAATATTCAATGGATTGTAGTATTTGTGGAATAAAGCGAAAACGAATAATTACATGGACATCAGCAAACTACGTCAACCCATTAGAGGAGTTTATTGAATGGTTAATTGATGGTCTTGGAAAGGAAAGAAGAATTGCGACATATGCAATTTC